GCCAAGGAATGTTCGACCCGCTTATATGTTCGGCTCGCTTATAAGGTACGTTATTCTTTTCATGTTTCTCTATTCAAACAATACATTGAGTGAAGATGTCTAACCCATTATCGATGCCCATGGAAATAATATACAAATCTAAATCCAAACCCCTCTCAATTATCCAGCGTTTAATATCCACCACACATAATACACCTTCCTCCCCTTGACGCCTTCCTTACTCATCAGTCAAAAACAACCCGCTGCTTTACACCTCGGACTCGAGCTTCTTCTCACCCCCCTTCTCACCATCATCAGCCTTCTCCTGCGGCTTCTTCACACTCAACCACTCCAACGACGCCGTGCCCAAAATCGTCAAACACGTCACAATCAACCCAACCTGAAACACCGCCCGTAACGCCTCATTATACTGCACCAACGCCTCTCCCCTCACCTTCGCCGGCAACGCCTCCAACACCCCCGTCACACCCCCCTCGTTCACCAACCTCGCCTCAAACCCCGGAAACCCCTCCAACCTCCTCACCAACTGATTCGCCAACACATTCTCGCCCACCGACACAAACACCGTCGACCCCACAAACCCCCCAAAAAACATCAACGCCATCCCCAACGGCACATCCCCCTTCGGCAGCGCCGCCTGCACCGACAAATTCGGAATCTGAAACGACGACCCCAATCCAAACCCATACACCACCTGATACCCAATCCACACCGCCTGTCCACTGTCCACCTGCAACGTCGTCAACAGCCCCGCGCCCACCGCCGTGATGCACGATCCCACGATCGCCAAGGGCGTGTAGTAGCCAACTTTGGAATTAAACACCCCGCCCAAGATCGACCCAACAACAGTAGCCAACATGACGGGGAGTAAGCGCAGGCCAGAATCGACGGGGGATACTCCGAGCACGGCTTGGAACCAGATGGGGAGGAAGTAGATGATGATGATTTGGCCGGCGTTGATGGTGAAGGTGGCCCAGAGGGCGGAGGGGATGGTGCGGCGGGAGAAGAGACGGCGGGGGATGGTGGCTTGGGTGGGGGAGAGGATGGTGGTTTGGAGGAGGGTGTAGAAGATGAGGAGGGCCATGGAGATGGTTAGGAGGGCTATTATGCGGGGGTTGGACCACTGGTTGGCTTAAGTTAGTGTCTTGTTTCTTTGGGAGAGGGAGTGTGTGACAACGATAGGGAAAAAGGGGAAAGGGGAAAGGGGGATATGTACCGGGTAGGCTTGGCCGCCCCATTGCAGAGCAAGCAACAAACACACCACGCCGGGAACCAGAACGGCCGTGCCGATGAGATCGAGCTGGAGAATCTTTTGGCCGAGGGATAGCTCCGCTGGGTTTGAGTCTTTGCCCTCCGAGCCTTTAGCTTCCGAGCCCTTAGTCTCCAAGCCCTTGGTCTCTGAGACCTTGGAGTCCGAGACCTTAGCTTCCTCAGGAGAAGGTTTCCCTGGAACAGGCACCTTCATGAAGAGCGCGACGACAAGCATCGCCACGCCGCCAATGGGCAGATTCACGTAAAAGCACCAGCGCCAAGTAACATTCGACGTAAACGCGCCGCCAATTAGCGGCCCAACAATGGACGCAATACCAAACAACGCGCCGAACGCGCCCTGGATCTTGGGGCGCTGGTGCAGCGGGACGATGGAGATGATAGTAACGATCTATTTATCACCCATTAGCCACCCCCTTATCCACGAAAACAGGACCAAATAATTAGAAAATAGAAAAGCAAAAACTTACAGTCCCCGCGAAAATCCCCGCCGACCCAACACCACACACCGCCCGTCCAACAATAAACGCCACCGAGTTCGGTGCCGCGCCCGAGATGACCGAGCCCACTTCAAACAAGAAGGTGCTCGCGAGAAACACAACCTTGGTCGAGAAGACGGTGTACACCTTGCCAAATAGCAGCTGGAAGGCGCAGCAGGTGAGCAGGTAGGCGCTGCCGTACCAGCCGACGTCGCTGAGGGAGTGGAATTCGTTGGATATGGAGGGGACGGCCTAATCAGTGTACTTTGTTAGTTAACTAATTAATAGGTGTGATTGGGAACTTGGGACAGGGAGAGAAGGGGCGTACGGTGGAGATGATGGTCCGGTCGAGGGAGACGAGGAACATGGTGAGGAATACGGAGACGATAATGAGGGTTTTGGTGCTGGTGCTGATTTCCAGCTCGGATGCTGGATCTGCTGGGGCATCTTTGGTGTCGTGGTTGGCTCCGGAGGGTTCGTCTGTGAGGGTGGAGGGCGTGGACTTTTCGGGCTCTGGGCTCGTGCCCGTGGGCTGGCCCGGATGGGGGTCGGTTGACATCTTAGGAGTTGGAATGAGCCCGTAGTTACTATGGATGTGCAAACTGAAATATTTTGAGTTACAGAGTGTAAGATGGTTTCAACCACCGCTCGAGGTCAGTTGGGTTGGTAGGTGCAACATTCCCATTTCGAAAATCAAGGATCCCAAGCGTCCTTTAAGGGAATCATCGAGGCAGCCATTTCCGGGTCCATCGGCAATGATTTCCTGGTTCGGGCGCTCAGAAACTTCGGGTTGTCATTCATGGTGGTGGTCGGGGGGTTCTACCACCCGGTCTACCCTTTCTTCAGCAAGTTTAGCCAAGCCCCTGAGCTTTGCTCGGGGAAAGCTAAGGCCCGAGAATCCAATGACAGCCTTGGAACTGCGCAACAACGTTGGCCGAGTGCGGGTGAAACAAACCGAAGGATCGGAAGGAGCATAACTAATGTGACTCATGGAAATGAATTCTATGGCGCGATATTATCAACCTAGAGCAATACATTACTTGCATCTGCGTTCAGACTTATCTGGGTGGGGAGTTGAACTCACGCTCGGACACGCCCTGACCCGTGATCATGTGAACTCGCGTCAAAATACCAGGGTTAGGGTTATTTTCTCCACTTGCTGCCTATGCCCCACCAGACAAACGCGGGCCAGCGACTTCAAAAGAACGCGACTTTTGACGCCAACGTGACATCACGGTGAGCACCACCATCCCACGCCGGGACTCAATGGCCTCCGACCCCCGCCAGCGATGCTTCTGAGCAATTCATCCACAAATCCAGCCTAAAAAACACAAAAAAACAAACACCGCCATGCCACCATGGCCCCCGGACAGCACCAAAACACCTTCACGGTGGTGCCCAACCCCCTGGGCATGCAAGGCCTGATGTCGCGCCCAGCCGGCGCCGGTCTCGCCGCCGCCGCCGCCGCCACCGCATCCCACAGCCGGCCGCCCATGACCTCCAAACAGGTGCAAAAAGCCTACCGCGAACGCACCCGCGGCCCGAAGCTGACCAAGGCCGAGCAGCGGCGCATTGAGCTGGAGGAGCAAGCGCGGATTCGGAAGGAGTTGGAGAGGGATAAGCAGTTGAATCGGGCGAGGGTGTTGAGGGAGAGGAAGAAGGAGAAGGAGGCGAAGGTTTTGGAGGAGAGGAAGAAGAGGGGGTTGCCGCTGGTGAAGGTTAGTGCGAGTCAGGATACGATTGCGCGGTTTGTGAGGGGGAATGGGACGGGGAAGAAGAGGGAGGTGACGGGGGCCATGAAAGAGGAGGGGGCAGGGGGGAAGGAGAGTGTTGCGCCGGGGGCTGCGCCTGGGGTTTCTCCTGGGGAGGGGGGGAAAAAGAGGGCGCGGTTGGATACGGTATCTGAGAAATCGGAAGAGATGCAGGGAGAAGAGGGAGGGCAAAGAAAGAGGGTACGGTTGGATGAAGCGGTGAAATTTAAGAGCGGGGAGAAAGGACAGGGAAAATCGGTCGAGAACAAGAAGGATTCCGTGGAGACGAACTCAAGATCAACAACCCCCGGGAAGGGTGACGTCGAATTTGCGGGCCTCGCTCCTCAGGAGCCTGTCGACAATTCAATTGCGACACCGAACGGCCCAACGGACGTTTCACTCACCAAGGAAAAAGCGCAAGCGAAGGAGATGGACGCAACAATCACGAGCGTACCCAAACCCACACCACTCCAAAGCGCGCCGGTCCCGACCCCACAAGTGAAGCCCATGGTTCACGATGTGGCACCAGTACCGGCACCCGCACCGATACGGCGACCGACCAAAGGCGCTGAACCAGCAGCAGGGAAAAATCTAGAGAGGGCAAGTACCGCGGACCGGATACGACTTGACTCGCCTCAGGTAGAAGTGCCGATCACGAAAACCGGCTCGGCGGTGGCGGTTGACACGGAGGCAAAACGGACGGCTATATCAGCCGAACAACTCAAACCTCTGGTGTCTGCCAACCGCCCAACACCCACCAACTCGTTAGCCCCGAAGCCACAGCCTCCAGCTGTCCCACCTGCCTGCCAGGGGACACTCGTTCAAGAAACTCGAAGGCACAACCAGACAACTCCTAAACCGATCCCTACTTCTGTGCAACGCCGAACATCCCTGAACCAAGTTCAGACGCCAAAGCCACGTAACGTCGCCCCAGGGCCACAACGGTCGCACAGCGCGTCATCAGCAGTCCTTCGGGAAATCACAAACAGGCTGAACCAAACATGGCCGATGTCTGCCGGCGCTGGCGTCCAGAAGTCCCGGCCTAACCAGGCTTCACCAAGCATCTCCCATCGCCGCACATCGACAGTCCCTACGGTCAAGCAGCAACGGCCCGAGACCCCAGCAAGAGTGCAGCCGCAGAACGTGCAGAAGCCGCAAAAACCCCCGAAGCCACAGTTTCTTCCCCCTCATCTTCGTCAGGTGTCCGACAAGCCAGCAACTCCCGCTCCCGCTCCCGCCCAACCGGAGCTTCGAACTCTACATGACGATATCCCAAACGGTCTCCCAACGAGCACCCAGCTCTTCGTCATGTCTCATCTCGATGAGTTATTCCCGAGTCCGACGCAGGAGGCAAGGGAGTTGGGGATTGAACGGGTGGCGCCGGCGAAACAGAAACCGCTACAGCCAGGGCCGACGAGCCGAGAGACGCAGCGGGAAACTGTGAAAGGGCCCGTCCAGTCTAGACAACCTCCCCGGCCAGTTGCCCAGGCAAACAGGTCGATGGCACCACCTCCAAGGCCTCCAGTGAAGCCAGCGAGGCCAACGGCAATGGGGCCACCACCGAAGGCACCGCCGGTCAAGCCGGCCGCGAGCAGGCAGTTCAAAGCAGCGGTCACGAGTCGCCGGCCTGCACCACCCAAACCCGCCGACGCCCTGGATGTGCCGTTCATCGCGACCCAGGACTTGATGTTCTCCACGCAGGATCTCCGAGAGCTGGAGGAGCCAACCCCGTCCAAGGGAGCCAGGAATGCGGGACACAATCCACCACGATTTAAACAGCCATCAACAGGACCGGTATCAGGACCCGGGACGGTTTCGTCACAGCATTTGGCATCCCAGTTTCAGAGAAAGCCTACGTTTGCAAGGAAGCAGGCTGTCAATCCTGCTGCTCCGACATCAGGTCGTGCAACTGGGCCGACATCAGGTCACCACGCTCATGGGAAGGAGAACATTCGCCCGCAGCCGCAGCAAAGGCAGCAACAAACAGAACCCCGAGGCCGCATCGGTCAGGTTAAGCCAGCCCGGCCAGATACCAAACCTATGTCTCCTATCTTGAACCCCAACACGGCCATACAGCAGGAAAACCAACCCCCACACCAACAACAACAAAGGCCGCAACCCGAACAACCACCCCAAAACACCGCCCCCAAACTTACCCCAACAGTAAACAACCCACCCGCCAAACCCCCTTCACCACCCCCCGAAAAACCGCGCTTCTTCACCTCCAGCGGCCTAGGCGTCGACACCCTACTAGCCATGGGCCGCAGCCGCAGGACCCACGAGGAAGAGCAAAAGAGACGGCAGGGACGCGGGCTATCAGGTGGGCTATCAGGTGGGCTATCAGGTGGGCTATCAGGTGGGCTATCAGGCGGGGTTAATCGTGACAATACCAACGGCAGCCACAACAGTAGCAACACCCGCAGCAGTAGCAACAGCGGCGACCGCAGCAACAACAGTGTTAACAATGCCAGGAGTAGCAATACACATGGGGCGACCAACCAGGGGACTAACCGAGCGGCCCAGGGAGCGGCCGGCCGAACGACCAACCATACGGCAGACCATACGGTAGACCAAACGCTCAGCTGGGCCGGGAAACAGGCCGCCAGCCTGCAGATGGCGTCGCAGGAGACGGACTATGGCGATTTGGAGCTGGATGCGATGGACTTTGATAGCCTTGTTGGGATTGGGGTTGGGAGGTGATGGGTGTGAGATGATAGGTTATGAGATGTTGTGGTATGTGAGGCCGTGTGAGGATGTGGTTGTGTCATGACGGGTGTATTGGTTGGATGACCATGAGTATGGGTGGGTTGGGTAGGAAGATGTACATGAAATCATCGAGATGGGTATGAGATGGTTATGAGGAGGGAATGAATAGACACGTTAAATACGGGATCATGGTGACGAGCATCGGACGGCATATGGATAGAGCATCAGGATGGTTGGTTCACGCCACGGAAAGGGTTATAGCATTGTATTGTATTGTTTGTGATATCTTATACTGACTAACTGCTTGGACGACCACCTGGATGACGGTCAGGGGAGCATACCCGAGTTCTCCTATTGAGCTATAGACCTCAGGCAGATGCGTTGGATCCCATGCGGCTCTGGGCAACCAACTGCTTCTAGTTGGGAATATGCACTTTTGCCCGGCTGGTTGGGCATGATGATTCTGCATGTTGGGAAGTCAGGGTTAGGGTGACTCAATGAGATAGGACAAAATCACAGTTTGATGTGACTCCTGATTGTGACTCTTGAATGTGACTCTAGGGCTGTTGTTGAGTGGGGTTGACGAGCGTGAATTTGCTCAACAATCCATCATCGCTTGCATGTTTTGACAATGCTTTTCAACTTTTCTCATATTTGTCTTGCGCTCGTACCTCTCATGTTGTGTCGCAGTGTAAACTCAAAACTGCACTCCAAGGCAGCCTCATCAACCTTGTCAGCATCAGCATCAGCATCAGCCCTCAAACCCTTCTCCCAATGATCCTCGAATCCTGGGTTCTCCCACCACCCACCCAAGTATCTACCAACCAATGAACCCCCATAACCGACACACAGGCACCCAGGCACGCACTTCGAGTAAAATGAGAAAACCCAGAAGAGCCTGAAAAGTGAGAGAGTGAAAAAAAATGAGGGTGAAGGAGAAGAAAAAAAATCGAACTTTTTCGTCGCGGCGCATTCCTGCCCAATCGCGGGCCCCTTGACACCTAACGGGCACCACCAGAACAGGCACCCAAATGGGCAGCAAAGAGACACACACCTGTTTTGTGTGAATGACCAGCCAAACAACAACAACACCCACCCTATCCCCTTCCAACATAGGAACCATCCGAATGGGGCGGATGTTGCAGTTGCAGTCGCAAGTTGCAGTTGTAGTGGGTGAGTGGGTGAGTAGGTGAGTGGATTGTCTGTGAGTTTTGCTCCGCCCAGTTAGTTATGCCCAGTCACGCTCACAATCACCTGCCCGCCTCACCCGCCCAAGGGGCCTCTCACTGTGAGGTTACTCCCCCTTTGAGGGTGAGTGTGAGTGTGAGTGAGTGAGGGGGGCTCCTGATACGGTTAGTCTGGGTAGGTCACTCTGAGATGTGAGAGGGGGCATGCTGGAAAATCCTAGACGGGACAATAACATGCTGCCTAACTTCCTAACAGCATCACCTACATAACTCGGGCAGAAAATCCTTCATACAGGAGCTTTCTCTTTACCTTCCATTTCATTCAACACCCGCTGTGTATTCGGCTGCTTCATTCACTACGGGCGATGCAGTAAGTACTCAGACTCCCAACAACCAGCCGACTCGGCCCGGATTCAAGCCCTCCCGCCGCTGGACGCGCGTGTTAATGCGCAGGTGCGCGACCGCAGAACCTCCTGACAGGGTTCAAAGGGGAGCAGAAAGCGGGGCGCGGCTGGGTCGAACCTGCGCTGTGGACTGGGATTGGGACTGCGGGACTGCTGGGGCCTGCGCTGCGGGCGGGCGGGTAGAGCCCCGTGAGCCGCTATAGGATAGACGTGGGGGGAGGGTTTCGCGTTCAGCGGGCAGGTGGGGTTTGTTAGTGGCTCGTTGGCGGGGTGGTGGTTCAGCCCTGCTTGGTTGTTTTTTGTATGGGAGGCCTGCGGCGGTTGCCTGCGTGAATGATGATGACTGTGCTGTGTGAATGAAGTGCAGGAAAAGGGGTTTGCAGCCTTTCCATGCAGATACAGATACCCTTTGGGCATTTTGCCTGATGGATGGGGCTGCTACTGTGCATGCAGGGGTATGTCGGCGCAGTGCAGGGCGTGCAGTGCAGTGCAGGACATGCGGCCTCACTTCGGGTTTGGGATTTCGGTCGCTGCGATTGTGTCGCTGCTGCTGTTTTCACTTTGTCTCCATCCGGGCAAGCACGACTGACAAGCACGACTGGCAAGCACGACTGTGTAAAATGATCCGATGAAGTATATCTCCTTAAATAACCTCAAGTGACTGTCCGCGCCATCTCACTTGTTCGCTTAACAACCAAGGATCTTCTCCGCATTCCACATTCCTTCCCTTCGCGTCGTGGGACAGACAGACGGACAAGGACGTGGCAGCGCACGTGTTGTTGTCCCTTGTGGTCTGCCTGCCTTGCCTTTAGATCTGTGCCTGAGGTGTGTGTGCCGTGCCGGCCGTGCCGTTTCAGCCCCCCCTGTTCAGGTGTCGTCCTGACCTGTCGCATCGGGCGGCTGCGCGCACTGCCCGCAGCATCTCAGATCTTGGTTTTCGGCGTTACTCCGTCCTACTTTTTACTTTTACTTTTACTACACACATCGCAGACGGGGACCAGACCCGAGAAACAGAGAGATATTGAAGGAGAATATTGAAAGGAAGTTCTGGGAGTAATAAACGCGACGACATTTTCAAGAGGAAGGGGACAGCAACGGATTTGACACGTTAGGTCTCCAGTTCTGCAGCAGGACCCCGCTGCTGCGACACGCTGTGAGACCAGGTACAGAAGTGAGGAGAACAGACGGAACCCACAAGTCCACGTCAACATACCTACCTCTCCAGCTCGAGGTAAACAACAACACACCGAAAATAATAAAAGCAACATGCGCCCCCGCCGCGCCCTCGACCTCGACTTCGACGCCCTCGGCAGCATCTCCAGCGACACGCGCCCCTCGACGTGGGACTCGCGCACCTACATCGGCTTTGGCGATGACACCGGCAAGACAGCCACCAGCGCTGGCGCTGGTCTCGGCGCTGGTCTTGACGACGAGTACCGCTCGCGAGTGAGCGTAGGCGGGAGACGGTCGCTGGGTGGTGTGCTGGGCTTGGGGGCCGCGAGTGTTATTGGGTATGGTGGGAGTGGCGGGAGTGGGAGTCTGGGGGATGAGGAGGATTATGTGTTTCGGTCGCGGGCGAGATCGAAGCCGAGGAGTCGGACGAAGAGTCGGTTAGGGTTAGGTTGGGATTTAGATTCAGGGTTGGATTTAGACCGTGATCTTAACCGTGACCGCGACCGGGACCGCGACCATGAGCGGGAGGCTCGTCAGGCATATGCGTTGGAACGAGCTGGGATGATAGCTGCGCGGAAGGAGAGACGGAAGCAGATGGAGAAGGACGGGGGGTATCTAGTGCGGTCGCATGAACCGCCGCCAGAGCTGCAGCGAGAGCGGGACTACCCCCGGTTGAAGCAGCACCATTCGTATTCCCATCCGGACGAATACGATCGCGGGTCTCCCGCTCCCGCTCCATCGCGGCCGGTGTTGAAGTCGTCGATGTCGGCGGGCGTAGCGGAGATGGAGTTGGAGATGGATATGGGGGGCGTAGAGACAGACACGGAAAAGTTGAAGAGCCGGTTGGGGATGGTAGATCGGACAGAGACGAGTGGGAGTGGTGGACATGAACACAGGAGTAGTCACCGTCGGCACCAGTCCAAGAGCAGTTCCCGACACCACCGACACGAGCAAGACACGCAGGACTACCCGCCGCCGACCGACTATCCGTACGTCATGCTCGACAACACAACATCCTACAGTAACAGCCGTAGCCACCGTGCTCGATCCCCATCCTCCTACCCCCCCACAACCTCAGCAGCCCCGCGAACCAAATCCCGATCACACCCCCGACACGACTGGCCCGCGTCAGATTCCAACACACACTCCGGCTCCGACGACGACGGCACCACTGACTGCGATTTCACCGACTCCGACTCTTCGGCCCCGCGTCCTCCCCCACCCGAATATGGTACCAGCCCCGTGAAGTCCGCAGCAGCCCTCGACGACGAGGGACGCGGCCGACGACGGAGGAAGTCGGAGAAGAGGGAGAATGAGCGGTTGGAGAATGAGCGGTTGGTGGATGCGCATCGCGATGCATGGGGGGTACCGCCGCGGGTGCCGGGGCCGCCGGTATTGGCGGGTCGGTCCGGGGATGGGTTGGATGATGATGGGATTGCAGTTATTGATATGGATGAGGAGGAGGCGGAGATGAGGAAGCGGGAGATGGAGCTGGAGAGGGAGATGAGAGAAAGGGAGAGACGGGAGGATGAATATGGTCGGAAGAAGAAGAGCAAGACCAAGACGCGGAGTAAAAGCGAGGGGAGTAGCAAGAGCGGGAGCGGCAGTAGCCGGAGTGAGAGAGAGGAGCGCAGCGAGAAGCGGAAGAGCGGACGGACCAAGCACCACCATGCGGGTGATGAACTCGGTGCTGAAGGTATCTACTTCCGCCCGGAACGGCCTATTCGTCCCACGCTCGCCGCAGCGACCACGGCGTATGACTCTCAGTCTGGCTCGGGCCGGTCACAGTCCCGGCTGCGGAACGACCATCGCGAGCGAGACTGTGAGCGGGAGATGTACGAGGAGTACCACTGGTCCAGCCGCGAGGGGAACGAGAAGGAAACGCGATTCGCGTTTCCTGATGAGGCGAGGGATGAGCCTGAGCCAAAGCTACCGAATCCCAGGGTGCCCTCGACGGCTGCGCGCAGGAGACGGCGGAGCGAGAGTTATGAGACGCGCCGGAATGGGGTCAGTCCGGTTGTCATGGCCAGGGCGAATTCGTGCGTTCTACTTTTCTTTTATTTTTTATTTATTTACTTTTTATTTCTTTCTTTGTCCTATTTCATTGTTGATGCCTTGATCCAAGACCGACTAACTAAACGAACAAACAACAGGAAATTCCGCACGCCCAAACCGCAATACGCCCAAGTCCACGCCCTCATCCTGACCTGGTCCTTCCACGACCTGCGCGCTGAAACCTACACGGCCCCGCCCGCAGCCGACTATGTCTCGCTCGAGCAGGAGACCGCCCGTCTGCGCACCTGTCTGCAAAACTACGGCTACATCGTGCACGAGTACCTGATCCCCATGGACCACTCCGTCGAGAGCCTCAAGAATGAGCTGCGCCGGTTCTGCCGGTTTGCGGCTGACGATACGCTGCTGATGGTGTATTACCATGGCCATGGCGCGATGGATAACAATGAGTTGATTTTTAGCAGGTATTTTTATTTTATTTTATTTTATTTCCTTTTTCATTTTCTTTTAGGGTACTGACCAGCCAGCCACGACCACCCCGAAAACCCCGAGTGGTCCAAAACGGCCGCTGCCGAGCTCTACGCCGCGTTCCTCGACGGCAACGCCTGTGCCATCCACAGCGCCCGCGTCGAGCGTTACCACGAGCTGCGCAAGAAGTAGTACGTCCGCTAACCTTTCTCACCATTACACACCTACCCACCCTAACACAAATTAGCGAACGCTACCGCCCAGTCTCCACCGTCCCCTGGGACGCCATCCGCAGCCCTCTCCTCTCCGCCCCCTGTGACCTCCTCCTCGTCCTAGACTGTTGTGCCGCCGGTGGCGCCGGCCTACGCCATCTGAACTGGCAACCACCCCCCGGCGCTGAGTCTTACACCAAGCACCTATTTGCAGCATGCGGCTTCGAGTCCAGCACCAACGACGACATGACCGCTGCCATGTGCTCGGTGCTTGACGAATGGGTTCCCCCTGCTCTTCCCCCTGCAGGTACCGCTGCCAAGTCTACCTCCCGCTCTCGATCGCGGTCTACCTCTACCAGCCACAGCAGCGAGGATAATGATAAAAAGACGAAACAAACAGGCGGCGGCACCCCCGGGCCTGTTGGCGCAGGGCAGTACCTCACCACCAAGCGGCTACACCAGCTGATGGAGGATAAACTGCAGAAGGGCCCGGCTGGGTCGCAGCCGATTTTTAAACAGTTGTTGCCGCAGGATCCGGAGCAGTATATTACTCTGCCGAATTTGGCTGCCGCTGCTGCTGCTGCTGCTGCTGCTGCCGCCGCCGGGGGGAAGGATGTACGGGATGTGCGAGAGGTAAAGGGGGGGCTGGGGAAAGGGAAAGTCGGTGGGGCTGTGAGGAAGAAGGCGGTTGTTATTGAGGAGGGGTTGGGCGGGGCGGAGAGACGGGGGAGGGGGTATGTTTTGGCTTGAGGGGGCGAGTGATAGTGGTGTTGGGTTGGGTACTTCTGGGTTGTTGTTTGGGTTTATTTGGGATTGGATACGGTTGGATATGGTTATGGAGTTGCTATGTTAGTTTGACACTTGCCCACGGCTTGGCAGTTGAGAATTGGACGGGGATTTACCGGGTTTTGATGGCTTTTGAGACTGGATTTGATAAGTGAGCGTGAGCAAGGCCTTGAGTGGTCAGGCAGTGGATTTCTCAACTCTGGACAGTGACGGCATATCTGACACAGCATCGGGATGGTTCGTCTGCAAGATCAGACAGTCGGGTATGTCATACAAAGTTAATTAGTTTGCCATAACCTCTAGGACGAAATGCTTCTATTCTGCTCTCTTCCCTCATCGTCTTGCTTCACTTCGTTTCCCATCCATGCTATCCTGTTTTCGACTCCCTGCTATGTAAACCTGAGATGAAGACAACCCCAAAACAACGACAAGGTAAACCCAACCACTTACATCAATGCTTCTTGTCCCTGTACGTCAACGTAGTCCAACTTCATCTTCTGTATTGCCACGCCAGGAATACGGCCTAAAGGTGAATGACCAACACCTGGTACAAAACAGTCCTTGGATAGCAACGTTTATCCTCAGCGTATGATATACCCAGACCAACCCGGCCAAGCCTGGCTACACGCCCCAAAATGATGGAATCATGGACTGGGAGGGGTGGCTTGCTGAGTAGTTGGTAGATGAACGAGACGAAGACAAGAAAAGTAGAGAAATTAAACGCACATAGCTCAGTTAGCAAGTGGGAGGGAGATAGACAAAGAGACAGATAAATAGAACGATGGTCCCCTCACTCAGGTCCTCCAAAAACTAGGAACCCAAACCCAGAAATAGAAGCCTAACGGAAATTAGAGACTAGAACCCGAAGAACTACCGAGCAAAGGCGGGGAGGGTACCACGCCTCACGTGTTCTCGGCCAGTTTTAGGGCGGAATAGAAAGAACGGAAAATAATGGGAAAAGTCACGGGGATATTAGGGCTCGGAATGAAGGTAAAGGTAAGGCGAGAAAACAAGGCGAGAAGAAACCAGAACCTGGCTGCAAAAGTCGTTTCGGTGCAAACAAAAGCCAAAAACCATCAAGGAACATCGGAATAGTCACATTCTTTCTCCCGAAATACTTACTAAGTGCGCGATTACACCCGACGCCACTTCGTTTCAGAGACACTTCACCTCGGAGAAACACAATTAACACCTACCCGTCTCCTAGGTTAACCAGGTCCATCATACCAGCCACACAGAGATAATTCCTCAAGCCCAACAACTCCGATGTACAACAAAACTCTAGACAACACCAATCGACTCACCTACAGTCCGCCGGCTAGCGAGATAAGACAGACCAAACGAGCGACTGACCGACTACGTGGCCGACTACGCGGCCGACTACGCGATACGCCTACGGACGGGCAGGGAGACAACCAGAGGGGGTAAACACGGCGACACAGCGGTGTACGTATTAGACAGAGATCATGGCCAAACAAGCAGGTAGACAGACGGATAGACAGTCAGCAGACCAGCCAGACATACCAAACTGACTAGGTAGGTGACCGGCATACACACACAGGCACACAGATAGACGAACTAGAAAACGAAAACGAATCTAAGCACAGACTGATGAGCTGATAAGGCCGATAGAGACTGGCGAGTCGATAGACAAAGCATAGAACCAACCCAAACCAAGCTCAACCTCAAGCTTAAGCACAAACTCAACCTCAAGCTTAAGCTCAAATTCAACCCCAAGCTCAAGCTTATGCTCATGCTCATGCTCATGCTCAAGTTCAAGCCTAAGCTCAAGCCCACGTTACCAGGAAAGATTACCAGGACAAAGGCCAAAGACAAATCCCCAAGACACATTACTACGACGAAAACACCAAACCCTCTCCCGCCACCTCGCGAACATATACAAAAGCACAGACACACATACACACAGGGTGGCACAGGGCATAGGTGTGCCAAGAAGAACAAAAACGAGGACAAGAACAAGACCTTGAAACCCACCACAGATAAGGGGTCACAGATGGCATTTCACAAACTCAGAGATTGGGTGCGTGAAAGAACAGAGAGAGATGTACATGGGTAGCAGTAGGTAGCGGTTCATACATACAGGGAGTAGGAAAATTGGGCAATTGGGTAATGGGGTGTCAGGAACGATCCTCCACACAGACACATACACACATACCCACACACACACACCAGTCTGTCTACTGCTTTATTCCTTAAATCATTCACTCCTTGATCGCACCACAACGGGATGCAATATTCCGCGAAGAAGTGCTATGGCCGACGAGGATACAGACGTCCTCTGACGATGTGCCAAGACAAGACGCGATGCACTGTGATGCACTGGGATGCCCTGTGAAGTGCTGTGAAGTGATGTATGTACTACAAGTCTACCTCGCTATACTTGCTACCTCCGCCTGTCTCTGCCTCTGTCTGCCTCCGGTGCACGCAATGCCAAATCAAGACTTCCAATTCCGATGTCCGACGTACGATGCCCGATGTCTGATGTCCCATTCCCACCCCCAAGGTCCCGACCCCAGAGCATGCGACCGCAGACTATAGCAGCCAGCCAAGCAAGCAGCCAAGCAAGCAAGCGAACAAACCCACCAACTCCACCTCTAACGCCGCCCAAGCAACCATGAAATATGCAGGGAAGCACAAATAACCGCCCGTCCTGTACCCCAGCCCCCAGCCCCCAGACCCATGCCCTATTCTGTGGTCCCCAGCCAAATGAAGAAAGTATAACCCAGACCCGAATCAAGTATAAGCCCAGCCAGCCCAAGACCCAACCTGATCAAGACCGACCCAAACCTGGCCCAGACTGGGCTCAGAGTGATCAGAACGCAACGCGACCTCAGACTGACCGACTCAAATATGATCAAGACCGGCCCTAGCTCAGAAGCTGGCCCAAACTAAGGAGGTGAAGAAGCGACCAAGAAAGAAGCGGACCTAAAGGAACAACCCCACCCAGTTGCCCTTGTTGTTTGCCTCAGTGGGACAATCGGGCACCGCACACAGGTTGCGGCGCGCATGGGTCAGGTCGCGGCGGAAGCGCACTGCAGAACTCTTGGAGCCCACCCTACGGTTCTCGTAGCATTCCTTGCAGTAGACCTGGGATTGTTAGTCAGTAGCTGATTCAAGTGTTTGAGGAGAGAGACAATGATAACCAAAAGGATTGAGGGTGGGTGGTGGAGAATAGGCGATTGAGATAATGCCAATTGGCAAAGCCAAGCAAGACAAGAGAAAACCTACATGTCCACAATCCTTCAGCGCCCAAAAATGGTGCACCTCCTGGTCCTTCCTAGTCTTGACCTTCTTGACCGGACGTCGTCCATCAGCGCCCGCGTCCGGATCATACTTGAGCTCGCGCTCACAGCTCGGGCAAATGATCACCTCGTCGTTGCCACCGCCCGTGTTGCGCGTGAATCCTTCGCGGGCCGGCGGAGGCGGTTCGTAGTTGGGCTTGCGCCCGAGTTGGGCCGCGGCCACGGCGGCCGCTTCGGCAGCAGCAGCAGCGACGGCGGCTGCGGCGCCGCCTGCTCCGCCGAAGCGGTAGTCGAGGTGCGGGAGGTTGCCGGCGATCGGGTTGTCCATGTTGTTGTTGCCGTTGTTGTTCTGGTGCGCGCCCAGGTACTGGACTTCGACGTCCGGAATGGCGCGGCCGAAACCGAGGCGCTGGAAAATGTCGATGTTGCGAATGAGCCCGGCGAACCTGGCGCCGAAGTTCTCTGCAGCGGCGGCGTCGATATCGCGGTCACGACCAGCTGCAGCAGCGGCGGCGGCTGCCTGTTGGCGATTGCGGAATGAATGTTGGTTGTGGTTGTTGTTCTGGTGGCCGTGGAGCTGGTGATGGCGGAGATGGTGGCGATGGTGGGGAGGAATTTCCGGGTGGTTGCGACGAGGAAGTTGCTGGGGCAGTGGGGCCGGGGCAGCAGGCGAGTCGTCCAGAGTAAGGTCAATAACGTTTGTTTGGTCACCGAGGAGGCTGCCGTCGCTGCGCGAAAAAGAAGGTGTGCGCCGGTTCAAAGCCGTTTGGCGACGCGGGTTCCTTCCTGCCACTGGCGGCTGTGATGGGTTGGCCCCACGCGTGCGCGGAGGGGGCATTGCCCGAGGCACCTCTGGCGAATCTGGCTCTTCGGTCAAATCAATGAACACGGGGGGTTCGCGCTGGCTGTTGCGCTGCTGTCGGCTTGGGCCTGGCGCTCGCGACATTTCCACCTCTACCAGCTCGTCCAAGACCACCTGATCATGCTGGCGCTGGCGGCCGGCGCGGTGATTCTGGCCTTCCCTCGGCATGTTATCGACCGACGCGTTTCGCTGGGCAAAGTCGCGGTGGTGCGAGTGCAGTTCTGACATGATGCCGAGAGCGCGCTCGTGGTTCCGCCTGACGTTGGAAAGCAACTCCTCAAGTGGCCGGACTGCGTTGCGGCGGCGCTCGCGGGCAACAAAGAGAGGTTCGTCGTCGTCTATTTCGTCGAGCGCATCAAATCCATAGGGGCTGTGCATTTCATTGTCCTCGCTCTCGACCTCGACCTCGTCCTCCTCTTCGTCTTCTTCGTCCTCGTCTTCGATCTCGTCGCTTTCCCGGTCCTCGTCGGAACCGGCACCGGTATCGTAACCGTCGTCGTCAATCGATTGAATGCTGTCGTCCATATCACTGTTGATCTCAATTTCTGACAGTCCGTCCCCTTCGCCTTCCCCGTTTGTTTGGCTGCTCCCCACGTGACTACCGCCCTCTTGCCCACTTTCATAATTATCCACCTGCACGTGCCGCGCCTCCGCAACAACCTCAATGTCCGAGCCATCCGCGGATGCCCCCTCATCGACCGGAGCGGGGGTGCCAGGCCAGCTCGAAAACGGATCGCTGTCGTCGTGGTCATCGTCGGTGTGCTCGCTTTCGGACATGTTCTCGTCTTCCTCGGAAAGGCCCTCGACTTCGTCCTCGTCCTCGTGATCGTCCATGGAAATATCATCGTCTTCGTCGTCCGCGTGCCCGTCAGACCCGTCCTCGTCTTCATATAGGTCCTCGTGGTGCGGCTCGTACGGGAGGTAAAAGTCAATATTTCCCTGCATCCACTCCTCATCAACAGCTTCCCTCACATAATCCTCCAAATCGGCGAATCTCACCATGTCGTCCATGTTTTCTGTCCCCTTCTGGCGTTCTCTCCCTTTCCAGTGTTTTCTCTGTTGATTTCTTATCTCGTCGCGCACGGCCACACAAACCGGCCTACCGTGCCTGCCTTTTTGTTGTGGGAAATATTGGTCGGTCCCTCAATGATCCGTAGCGCAGAAATGCATTCCGCGCTGGCGAGAGAGAGAAAATTGGCGGGTGTAAAATCGTAGAGAAAAGTTGACTAATAGGGAGGCAACTTTTTTGTTGTTTCTCTCGCCGCGCTCGTTCGGCGATAACCGCCGCGGTGATTTCGGATCAGTTCGGAAGCTGGGAAACCCCGTTTGAGAATCGGAGGGAGAAAAGGTTGCAGTACTTCGTACTATGTACAGACAGCCGCAAGTATGGCGACGTGGATGTGTTAGGCAGAATCGGTGCCTTGCCTTGCCTTGTGTGGTGGACTCGGATGGTGTGGGAAACGGCGCGCGCGGGGCAACAAACAAAACAAGGACCGAGTCGAGGAGATTACGATGACGATCGAGGTCCCTGGGCGGGTCTCCGTATCAAAGGAGTGTTGTTTTCGAGTTGTTCGAGGGAAGATGCAAAGGTATTCGGAATTGGTTGTGAGTTAAAAAGAAAAGAGAGAGAAGGCGGAAGGGAGGAAAAGGTGCCTGTTCCGTTTGCACCTCCAAGCCTTTGGGTTTGGGTGGAAGTTGGCTCACGGAACATGAAGTTCCAGATTCGGGTGTTTGCCGATGGGGCGGGCGGCGTCAATGTGAACAATTCGCCCACACAATTCACGCTGCAGAAGTCCCACTGTCCCCACGGACGTGAGGAGAGCCCGTGGCATGGAGGCCAATTGGATGGAGCAGGAGGTCCCACTTGAAAAGAGCCGCTCAGCAGCTGCCAGCCTGTCAGGGGCCGAGAACAAACGCGCCAAAGAGGGCGAACCGCCACCTGTGCACAGCTGCCGCTGCCTAACAGGAGCAGCAAGCGTGATCTCGAAATGATGGGGAAACCTTGCCAACCAGGAGTTGCATCTTCGGGTTTCTGCCTACACTACGAAAACCTTTCATGATCCCGTATCGGGGACCGAAGCCCGCAATGCATTCCACCTCAGAATTAGCGTGACAGTGACAAGTTGTATCCCAAATGCAGGTAGTGATCACATTTTCAGGCGCCCACGAGGCAGACAAACGCAAGGGGAAAAGTAAAAACCGGCATCTATGAATACACCACCAGGCCACCAACAAACAAACAAAAATCCCCAACATATTACTCCTTCGCCCCCAACACCGACACCACACCCTCCTTACTAACCGTAACCAACGACCTCGCCTGCTCCCCCCACCGCAGCGCCGCAGCCGGCGAGCTCGTACGCAACGGCTCCGACCACTTCTTAGCACTCTTCTGGTACATCTGCACCGTGACACCCGTCGACCCGGCCGTGGCGAGGTACTGGCCCGAGTAGTCCCAGTCGAGGGCCTGGGCGTCGCCCGTCTGCAGCTCCTTGACCTGGGCGGCGGGGCCCGACTTGCGTAGGTCGAAGATGGTGGTTGTCGACTGGCCCTTGCCGGAGGCGGCGAACCAGAAACCGTTCTCGGAGAAGACGAGGGATTGCACGGGGGTGCCGAGGTGGAAGGACTCGGCCTGGACGCCGGATTCGGTTTGGAAGATCTTGATGTCGCCGGCTTGGGTGCCGGCGCCGAAGAGGTTGCCGTCGGGGTGGAACGCGCAGGCCGTGAGGGCTGGATGGACATATTAGCAATGAAACGGAACCAAAGTCGCGGGCAGTAAAGGGCAGTAGAGGGCAAAACGTACCGGCATCGGTGTACCCCCGCGAGACATGCTGCAGAGTCTCCAAATCGTAAAACACAAAGCTCTTATCCACACCCACCGAGGCCAAAATCCTAGCCCCCGGATGTACCGCCAGCCCGGTCACCGCGCCAGCATGTACGTTGAACGAGGCAGCCTCGGCCCCATTCTCCAGCACCTTGACGGACCCCTTGGACGTAGCCAACACGACCTTGCTGCCGGTCCAAACAGTCGCCGTCACGGGCTCGCCGATATCCAACGACCGCTCCACCGTCTTGGCGTACACCGAGTAGATGTCGAGCTTGCCGTCCAGGCCGCCGACCGCCGCGTACCCGGACTCGGTGTCGAGCGACGACGCGTGCGACACGCTGAGGTCGGCGTAGGAGACCTGCTCCAGGGCGGCCACGTCGTCGGTGCTGGCCCAGCCTTGGGGGGTTGGGCGCTTCTTGCGGCCTTTCATCAATCTGTGTCCGTCAGTCCCAACTCTACAATGCCAACCCAGAAAAAAAAACATACTCTTGCTGTGTCTGCTGCACGTGCTCCACCAAACTCTCCGGCAGCCCCTGACTATCAACCGCCATGGCATCCCCATTCGCCCCGGCCGGGGCGCCCCCCGATGGCGCAATCGTAACCTTAGACAACGCATCACGCGCCTCATCCCTCTCCTTGGTCAACCGCGCGATAACACGCACCGCCGCATCGTGTTGGTACAGCGCGGTGGCCAGCTCCTCGCGGGTGCGGGCCAGCTGCTCGCGGGTATTGTAGGTCTCGAGCACGAGGGCGTCCCACTCGTCCTGGAAGGCCTTGAGCAGGGACGGGAGCGAGGTGAAGTTGGGCGGGCGCGGGCGGACGACGCGGCTGGTTTTGAGGGGGAGGAGGTCGGCTTCCGGGTCGAGCTCGTCGGTGGTGTTGGGTTCGGTGCCGTTTTCTTCGATGTATTTGAGGATGAGGCGCTTTTCGAAGACGGTGCCTAATTCCTTGTTAAAATTTCTTCAGGTCTTCTTTCTTTGTTTCCTGCTTCAAGGTTCCGATAGGCATGCGACGCACCTGTCTTCCTCGACACCACTGGCTCCTCGGGAACCTCGCCTGAAACTGCCAATTGTTAGCCTGAAATCATTCGTCGAGTAAAAGGGAATACATACGTCCGCACAGCATCCTGAAGTCTCTGCGCAAGTCTGTCGGATGCGGTATTGATCGGTGATGATGCGACTGAATTCCGAGGCCGCTGAGCTCCCAACTTTTTGGCGGCTGGCAACGCGACGAGCATCAGCACGAGCCTTGCAGATAAAAGTGGGTCGTTCTAGGCCCCACTTACCGGGTCCACTCACCAGAACTCCCAACTGGATGGCTCCTTCTTGATGACTGTTTCTTGTTTTCTATTGAGACAAGTTGTTTGAAGAATTTGGATCACAAAGAGAGAATTTTACAAAATATGTTCTGCACTTTTATTGAGTTTAACACTGTATTGAACCGACCCAATTAAAGTAGCTGCAAAAACTGATTCTCAATTAACCCCAGAATTTGAGAGCTCGGCTGTTGAATCCGTTAGCTCTTCTTACCATATTCCTAAGACTCGCTTTCATCAACCGTTTTGTCCTGATAATCCCAGACTTTAGCAAATTCCACTACCATCTCAGAGCACATTACCAACAATCCCACGCCTACACCGAGATGTTCCCATTCATAACCACCACCGCCGACCCCCCAAGATACAACTCCTTCACCACCACCTCTCCCGACCCCCCATCCCTCTCCGCCACGACATCAACCACAATATCACTCTTCCTCCCCATCTCCACGCCCTGCGTAATCTCAAACCCACATCCCTTCTCCCTCCCTTCACTGATCGTCAACCAACTCGCCAGCGTACTCGCCGCGCTCCCCGTAGCAGGGTCCTCAAACCCCAACTCTACCATTCTCGTCCGCAGCGCGACCCTCTCATCGCCCTTCTCTTCTCCCGCAACAGGACCAGAACCAGAGCCAGAACCAGGCCCAGGGGTAGGAACATAATAATACCTCGACACAAACCCCACCCCCCACTCCCCCTCATCCAGCAACAGTCCCTTCTCAGCCACAAGCGGTGCGAAATCGATCCTGTTCCCCGTCTCAACCCGCGCGAGATCGGCTAGGCCAGGCAGCCGGACCAACACAAAAGTCATGCCGCGCACGACACTGACGATGGGGGCGGTGAGTTCCGCTGCGCGGATGGTAGCGTCTGCGGAAAGGCCGCTTTCGATGGTCGCTTTGACTTTCTCTGCACCTGCTATGGTGAATGGTGGGGAAGTGAGGAGGTTGCCGAGGGTTTGCCGGTGGATGTGCACTGCGCTGGGGATCGCTGCGCGGACGGCGCCGGTGGCGTTGTCCAGCTGGATATGGATCGGTCCGGCTTTGGTGAGAAGGGTGGTTACGTGTCGCCAGCCGAGGGTTTTGAGAACCAGGTAGGCTGTGCCAATGGTCGGGTGGCCGGCGAAGGGGAGTTCTTTCTCTATGGTGAAGATGTCTATCTCCCGGGTAGCCTCTCCCTCAGTAGGGCTCTGCTTCTTCTCCGGGGGGTCGTCATCGCCGGGAAGGATGTGCAGGAAGACGGTCTCGGAGAGGTTGAATTCGCGGGCGATACGCTGCTTGGCGGACTGGGTGAGGTGCGGGCGGGCGGAGGGGGGGACGAAGACGACGGCGAGGGGGTTGCCGAGGAAGGGGGTGGTGGTGAAGACGTCGAGGGTTGTGAAGCGGAGGGTGAGGGAGGCCATGGTTTTCTGGTGACGGTCTGGTGACGGTCTGGTGACCTATCCGGTGACAATTCTATGGTTTAGATGTGTTACTGTTGAGTCGAGGTGAGTCGAGGTGAATCGAGGTAAGTCGAGGAGATGAGATGTCGAATTTATGCTTGATGCTTGATGCTTGATCACTCATCATACAAGTCATGGTCGAGTCACCCCGCTCGAAGTGGGGTAGCCGAGCTTGTCTCCTCAGTCTTGTTAATACAAGGGCGTCTGAGTCAATCCTCAATCTTGAGACGTTTTCTAATTATACTCGGCGAGTTTTCTAAGTTTCTTGTTGTACTGTATTGTTGTTTCCCGTCTGTCTGACTCACTTACACTTCCCCCTTTTAACCTCTCAAACCCTGTTTGTTTAAGTCTATCCACCGAAAACCTCCCACAATATAACATCACTCCTCCAACTACCCCTTTTCTAGTCCAATATCTCCATCACAATATTTCTACTCACTCCCCACATCACACGCCGCAACACACTCCACCCCCACCAACCGCTGCTGCACCAACACCGGCACCAACTCCCCCTTCAACCCCCAACTACACACCCCACTTCCCCCACACGTCCCCGCCATCTCCTCGCCCACACTCAACACCACCTCCCCCTCAAACCTCACACTCACCACGCCCCCCGTCTCCAACGAAACCGCCTCCTCCAACCCAATCCTCAACCCAACATCCGTCGTGACCCCCCTCGTCGGATCCCGTCCCTCCACCACCGTAAACGTCCATTTCCCACGCACCCCAGGCAGCATCGCATCACATGCATTTTCAACTCCTGTATCCCGCGGGTCATCGCCGAAACTCATCCACCAGACGGAACAGTTGACGGCACTGGGCGGGAAGCCGGCGTCGCCGAAGTGGGTGGTGCCGAGGGTGATGGTGTTGGGGTCGGAGATGGTGAAGAAGAGGTGGGAGTAGGGGTGCACGGCGGGCATGCCGGGGGGCGAGGAGGTCGAGAGGGCGGTGAGTTGCCAGGGAGTGAGGGCAGTTGTGTTTATCGTGGGGAGGGTTGATGCTATTGTGAGTGGGAGGAAGGCCCAGAGGAGGGGGGTTAGGGCGAGCATGGTTGGTGGTTTGGTGTTGGTGGTGCTATGTCGTTTGTCTTATTCAGGGATAATGGATGGATGACCTCGCTGACGATAAATAGGAATGTACGCAAGACGGCCGGTCCTAGAGTTCATATACACAGTAAACATGCTCTCAACTAAAAAGCAACTCATCACCGGCTAAACAAGCCCAAATACCACCTCGTATCTGCCACGCAACGTTCCGCGTACTACTTGCGCAGTAGTAACACCAGCATCGCGACTCAGCTGTTGGTTGATAGTCCACGATCACTGGACAATTCACTCGGCACCTGCATGTGCCTGGCTGTCCACGTTGCGTCCCGCCCACGAACCGGGAAAGTCTTCCCGATTTGTTTCGATCGGTTTGTCGACTGCATTAGTGGCGGTACTCTGTTCAGCTGGATCTGCACTATGTAGCCAGCCCTAACGTTGCTTTGTATGTAGTGAAAAGGTTAAAAGCGGATTTAAGGGGATAGTTTTGCCAGTGTTTGCTATTTCCAGAATCAGCGTTATTTCAAGCTTGAATGTCGGTAACTCGGCCGTGCTCGAGTGAAGGAAAAGTAGTTTGCTTACCCTAACCCTGATTTATCAACCGTTTAACTTTATTTTCCGGGAAGGCGCAAATGTAAAGTGGGTTCCTCATCAGAATCCCAACATTTTTCCACCACTCACTCATAACTCTTTCTTCAAAAATCCCATAAATCTCACAAGTGCATCTTAACCCTCGCTGGCAAACTCATCTCGCCCTGATTACTAACTTCAAACCTGCAATGCGCTCTCCAGCCTTGAGCCAGCACCTCAAAATAAAGTTTGAGGCAACGGCCCAACGCGCCCAGCTTCCGCAGCGAAAAATATATCCTAAACAGGAAGCTCGCTCCGCTGCTCGAGCAGCCAAGCACCGTCAGCCAGCATCAGCCAGCCGCGGCCAGCGGCGAAAGAACCGGCAGTTCAGCCCTTCGGGGCTCAGCCTTAGTGGGGGGGGGGCTCTCCGGGCGCCGTGCCGCAGGGGTTATCTGAACTGAACTGAATTGAACTGCAGGTCAGCTTTGTTCTTCGGTGTTTGATCATTACTATGTAGGTGTTCGTTTGGAAAAGGAACAATGGCGCGTGTGAGCAAAGACCGCAATGAACTCAACTTCCATCTGTATCTCTGGCTCTACAATCCATTTTCTTGTATTCTTCCAATCCTCCTCTCCATCATCGAATGTTCTCCCATCCCGTCCATCCAATCCATCCTCTGCCCAGCGGAAGGATTCGCTCTCCCGCGTCTGCGCCCCTGCCAGCGGGGCCCCTGATTCGCTTGGTTAGCGTCTTATTGGCGTTTTTTTTGGGCATGGACGGGCCGCTGCAGGGGTCAGTTGGGGGCCGTTCCGCGGATACTCGGCCTGGTCCATTTCGAATCTCGGGGGATGGTCTGGATTTGAAAGCGAGATGGACGGGCGGATTCCGGAGTTTGCTGGGGCCGGGTTCCGGTTGTCTGTCTTCCTTTTGGGCTGACTGACTGACTGACTGGCTGGGGTTTGGATTGTCAACTCAACTTGAAGTCGACTGTTTGCCTGTTTGCCTGTTTCTTGACAACGGTGGACTGGGTCATCGCATGATGAGCGTGTAAACTGTGCGACAAGTTTTGCTCTTCCCCGGTTCCCGCCTTCGGTCAGCGCGTCGCTCACTCTACCGGGTACTCACAAGTACACAACCACCATGGCCCAACCCGACAGGTACGGCCACGGCCTCGAAGTCGCCCCCGAAGCCCACCCTGAAGTGGCCGCCCACGAACACCTGCGCTCAACCCAGCACCTCCCCGAGGTCCTTCCCGGCGAGTATTACGGCGACAACGGCCTCAAGCAAGCCGTGTCTCCCTCAACGTACCCACATCCTGCTTCAGCATACCCAGCGGGGTTGGAATCTGTCGTGGATGAACATCATAATGACAAGTACGGACACGGGAACGGGGGGTACTTATTGCCGCCGGGGTACGCGGGGTACGCGGGGGACGAGCCGGCGGAGGTGGGGGATGAGAATCGTGCTGGAAGCGGAAAGGGGGGGAAGAGGAAGTGGTTGATCATCGGCGGGGTGGTTGCAGTGTTGGTGATTGTTGGTGCGGTACTGGGTGGTGTGTTGGGGAGTCGAGCAGTTATCAACTCGGCGTCAACATCTGCCGAGTCCACGTCCACGTCCACATCCACTTCCTCGTCCGACTCCTCCAGCAACAACAACCCCTCAGAAACCAACACAGCCCACCCCTCGGCCACGCCATCAGCAACCCCCAAGATGATCCGGTCCGGCTCAGCGCTGTCGGTAACAGCGCGACGACGGCCCGACGGCAACACGGAGACGTACCTGTTCTTTCAGGACCCGCAGGACGGCCTGCGGTATGTGCGGTGCAACTCTGGTGGAAGGGTGACCGGGAACGAGACGGCGTGCTGGGAGGCGCCGGAGACGCTGAAATCGTATGCTAAGGCGGGGACGCGCATCGCTGCGTCGATGATTGTGTGGGGGGAGGAGTTTGACGTGAGTTTTCTTCCCTTTCTTTTTTTTCTTTTTTTTCTTGATTTTTATTTGTTTGAAGCTAAAAGAAAGAAAAGCCCCAAATCGAAATCTTCTACGCCGGCTACCAAACCCGCCTCCTAGCCGTCTCCTTCCGCCCCTACGGCACCACAACCGACGACTCTCTCAACAAGCTCCAACTCTACACCTCCCTTGACTCCCCACTCACCGCCTACTGGCCCTGGACCCTCTACACCAACGCGACCGACAACCGCGTCTACCACCTCCGCAACCAGCTCGTCGGCTCCCGCACCTTCAAGCCTGCTCCCGTGTGGGACCACAACCAGCTCGACGCCACGCCGCGGCATGAAAACTCTAGTCTTGCTATCGTGCCAACGTCTACCAACTTCTCCATGACGGCTGTCAAGGCAGGGTATGCGTATTTCTACCAGACCACCTCCAACAAATTGGCGGTGGAAATCACAGACCTCACCTCGCCGCAGCGCCCGGCACGGTTCGTCACGCCGTGGCCGATCCACCTGCCAGATATATCGCTCCCGGCGGAGGGAGCGCAGATTTCTGCCTTCTCTGTCGGCCGCGCGGGCGATCCCAGCCAGCGCGTCAACACATATGTGGTATACCGCACCGCGGACGGACACACAGAGGTGTTATTCTCCGACCCAACTCCCTCATCTTCCTCCTCTTCCTCTTCTACTACAGATAATACGAACGCGGAAGACGGCAGCCCAGCAGTATGGCGAACCACACGGCCAGCAGCGCTGCAGACGATGGATAAGGGCAGTGACTTGGCGTGTTTGACGATGGCGACGTGGGTGTCGAGTGATGATGGGGTCGCGTCCTTGTTGGAGCCGGCGACGGGGGAGAATCGGTGTTTTTTCCAGGCTGGGGGGGTAGTGAGGGAGGTGAAGCTCGATGCGGGACGGGGCGAGTGGGTGGCTGTGGGGGAGGTGCCGATTCCGTGATTTTTGTCGGGGGGTGTATGGATTTATGTTTGTGTATGCATTTTGGTGGTTTTTGTGTCTGTATATTGTCTATTGTACATTGGGCGGGTGACAAATGGCGTTTAGCGTATGTCTTTGAGAGCATGGGAGGTCGACAAGTACCGAAGTAGATGGAACAGTAATGCTATGACGAGTAATATACCTTTGTTTGACCATCACAATCCACGTCCAACAAAAGACCGACAGTAACAATGCCATTGACAGGTCAGAGCAACTTATATAATTAATTACCCAACACCAGCCGAACTACCCAACCTCCCCGATCAACACTCACCTACTCACCCACCGGGTCTCCCACACACAAGATAATTAGACGCAAGATACAACCAGTAAATGCTCCTCCTCTCAGCAGCAAACATCACCTTTCTCCTCCTATCCGCCATCTCCCCCTACGCCGCCGACTGTCTCGTCACCGCCACTGCCCAAACCCTCCACCTCTTACTCGTCCAGGCTCAGCAGTCCCACCTCATCATGCACTGGACCCTGGGTCTCGGTCTGGCGCTGGCTATTGCCCGGGCCTCGGCTTTGGATGAGGTCCCGGCTGGATCTCTAGCTGGGATGGGGGGTGGGCATGGGGGGGAGACGTTGTATACCGTGCTGCGGGTTACGACCGCGTCGTCGAATGATGAGATAAGACGGGCGTATGAGGAGGTTGTGGAGGGGGTGATGGCGGAGAAGAACCAGTCTTTTGTCTCCCGACTGCTGTGGAAACAGTGGAATCCCTTTGCAAACCCTAACCCTCACCCTCCTCGCCTTTCCGTAAATACCCCTGATTTTACCCCTGAAAGCAGCACAACCACCAGCACAACCCACGACAAGCGCAAGACAGACACCGACACAGACCCCCGCATCAAAATATACAAAACAGCCTACAAAACTCTCACACACCCCTACACCCGATGTGTCTACCACCGTGAGGCCAACCTGCCCGAGTGGACGGGCCGGGTACCGCAGTCGTGTTGGAAGCAGAGGATTGCGGGGTGGGTGGTGGGGGCTGGTATGTTTAGACCTAACATTGACCTTGACGTTAACCTTGACCCGAGGTCTTGGACTGGATGGCCTGGGGGGTCTTGGATTGGATGGCCTGGGGGATCTTGGGTTGGATGGCCAGAGTGGGAGAGGTCGTGGTTTGGGGGGTGGTGGTCGTCGGTCTGGGAGAAAATGGGGAGTGTGAACTCGCCGCTGGGTTGGTTTGATCGCGTTTGGGTTCCTGGCACGAGCGCCGTCGGCGACTGGATCACTGCGGTTAAGGGAGTGTTTGATGCGCGGGGGATATAGGGCGTCTCTGGCTCATTGGGGACTTCTAACGCTGGCTTTGATGCCGAGCCGGATTCTGATTCCACACTGGATCCCACGCCGAATCCCACGCCGAACTCTGAGTCTGGCTCTGACTCTAACTCCAGCCCGAACTCCGATACCAAAGCCAACACCGATGCTGATACCGATACCCAAAACCACTGGCTCCTCGACCTGTTGCAACTCCTCCTGGAAGTCCTTCTCGCCGTCTGTCTGGCAGAGTATATATCCACACACATCGAGTCTGCACTAGACGCTGTGCGAGACAGAGGGCAGGTGTATCTTGATCGGCTGAAGGTCGCGTGGCAAGACTGGGAGTGGGAGGGCTTTGGGAGGGTTGTCGCGGTTGTTAAGGCTGTTGAGGCGGGGGTGTATCCTGTTGTTGTGTCGGCGGGGGAGATTGTGAGAGGATGAAGGGTGAGGGTGGGTGTTTGGTCGGTGGATTATGGATGGGGGTTGGAAGGTGAGTAGGTAGCTAGGAAGTACGAGATAGATTGGATAGCGAAGGGTGGTTAGATAGCAATGCGGTGGTTAATTGATAGGCCTGAAGTGGATTTGGTTATCTCCTTTTCTTTTTGTTGGAATAAATTTCCGCACCTTCCTTCCCAACTCCCAACCACACCATATAAGTCCGCTGTTCGCTCGAACTGTCACCAGCTCCTCCCAATGTGCCAAACAGCGTGTTTGGCCCGGCGGTATTGGGAGGAGCATCGCCGGTGCCGTCGTAAATCGAAGTGGCCCCGGGTTCGATTCCCGGGGCCAGCGAAGAAAAATCTTTCACCGGAAAGATTTTCGTAGCCACCAACCGCTATCCCTCCGGATGGGGATAGGGCTTGGTGGTGAGCTTTTTGTTTTTTTCTTTCTTGACATTGACTTGGCTATAATTTTGCATGAACAATAAAATAATCTTGATAATCACCTACGTAAACCATCACCCTGACCTCCCACATCCAGGACCACTACACATAAATATAACACAACTTCCCCCCCAACCCCCCCATCTGCTCGTTCAAATCCACCAATCTCACCGCCGGCGCCGTCCACCCGAGATCCACCACCGCGTCCTGCACGTCCTCCCGCTTCGCCACCATTTTCATCCCGCCGTGCCCCGGCATTGGCATCGATGTGCTCGTGCCCGGCACCTTGTCGACGCGGTTCTCGGGGTCCTGCATCTGCCAGATCCACCACACCCTGTCGAGCATGCCGTGGTGGAAGTAGAAGGCGGGGTCGCCGGGAGAGGCAAAGAAGTCCTGAGATACTTAGTCACTCACATACAAAACAAAAAAAAAAAAAGGAAAAAAGGAAAAGGAAAAGAAGGATCGGGAAAATAGAGAACAAAACGTACACCCCCCGGATCACCCCCAATCATATAATGCCCCGCATTATGGATCCCCCAAGGATGCGTATCCCCCTTCAGCTGCGGCTGGCCCAGGTACCGGTTATAAAACGCGTCAATATCCGGGTTGTCGACAATCGTGCTGTACGTGTAGTTGGCGCGGGCGCCGGCCGCCGAGAACTGGTTGACGTCTCGCCGTAAGCAACGCGGGTTGGAGCCTAGGCCGTCGGATTGGGGGTTGGGCGGGATGTCGGAGACGATGGTGGATTTGGGGCCGAGGGAGACGATCATGCTGGGGGGGGGGTTAGTACCATCATCTTCTTTTAGAGAACATACTGGAGGGGAGAAAGGAGGAGGGGACAGGGGGGACGGTGAGAAAAAGGGGAAAGAACGTACTCCTTAAAAGGCCCCTCAGTCACACACCCCCCTCCACCAGCAGACGGAATCATGTTATACGGCTTCGGAAACCCCTGCGGCACGCCCGCATACTCGCTCGGCGCCCCGTTGCCGCCCATGCTGGTCTCGCTGCCGTCAAACATGGGCGAGTTGATCGGGTCGTCGGCGTACCGGTCATAGTTCATGTACTGTCAGTCTAATTAGCCGCTTCCCCTTCTCCCTGTCCCCCTACCCCCAACCTCTCTCCCAAAACAAAGTGATAGAAACTGCGAGAAAAGAAACAGAAGACTCACAGGCTGATACCCCTCATACCCACACTCCTCCCTCAGCGCCTTCTCATACGCCCAAATAAAATACCGGTGCGCCGCGAACAGGTTGGTCGGACTGTGCAGCATGCCTGCCATCGTCATGTGGGTGGCCACAAAGTCGTCGAACCGGTTCTGCGCTCCGGGCACAGTATCGCGGGGGGATTTGGGGGGCAAGGATTGGAGACAGAGGACGGCGGAGATGTAGGATTTGCGTTCTTCTGGGGTTAGGTCGCTCCTGGTGTGCGAGTCCATGTTAGTTTCGGTCTGGGGAGCGGGGTTGGATATGGATGGATAGAAGCGGACCTACCATTCCCGACGGATTGCGGCGTTCTCAAGGGTGCAGGAAGTAGTCGAGTTAGCAACGGCGCGTTTGGAGACCCACGCCTCGACGTTGGGCATGATGCTTTCTTCGAGCTGGTCGACGACGTCCAGGGGGTAGTCGGGGTTGCGGGGGCTATCATATGTCACTATGTTAGGCGAGAAGCAGCCTGATGGATGGACCGGGAAGGGCTGGAAGCGCTTACACGTTGGGCGTCCATCGTTTCTGAGCTGGGCTGGCCCAGGCTCCGGCGAGCAGGGACAGGTGGATTACGGTTTGGCCTCGCATGGTGAACTTGGTGAAGCTTGGATGGTTTACAGGGTTAGAAGAGAGAGAGAAGGGGGGGAACAGATCCCAAGACAGTCCTGGCGGGCTTTATTCATGAGCTCTCTATCCTAGGCCCACTCCCAACTACACATATCGGGATGCTATACCTCATCTGCCGTGGGATATGATCGGTGTCTTTCTCGGCATGGGACCTAACAAGACCAATGATACCTCTCCCCAAGACCCAAACACTATATCATGACCCTCCGAGACATCTAAGTGGGGTATTTGCTACTCTCATCGCAGATAGGCCTTTGACACCTTCAACCAGACGAGTTCCGCCAATACTCACTTTCCCCCCCTCAAAGCTCGTCTCCCTGCGTCGATCCTCTTGGTACAATATAGGGCTGCCGGGAGATGCCAGTGGCAGTCACGGCTGTCGAAGCAGTTGAGAGATCAGGACCAATGAGATCTGACACCGCTGGCCATTTGAGCCGGGAGCCGCCGGCAGACACCGTTGCACACGGCGATGTTGCGTCGGCATTTGTGCCGATGTAGCTCGGGAGATATTAAGTTGCGAAAAGAGGTTCGCTTGGTTTATCGAGTATTTCTTTGTCCAATGACCGTCGGGGAAGAGCACGTTGAGTGGATGGCTATGTTAGCACTTTGCATCCTGACTGCCCTCTTTTCAGGGCAATTTTGCCGCTTTCTTTTTTTTCTTCCTGATTTTGAACCTCCCAAGACGACAAAAACTCCAAAAGAGATACACCACCAGCAAAACGTAATCTCATATTCGACGTGGGCCTGATTCGAACAGACGCTCCCGAAGGAACAAGATTTCTAGTCTTGCGCGTTAGACCACTCCGCCACCACGCCTTAGTGTCCTGTTCAATACTACTGTAGCACTGCTGTTGAACATGGTTCAGTTGTTGTCTCAACAAGAGCTGGCATCCAGACTCCTGAAAACTATACGGGTTATGGTGCATCTTGTCCCGGCGACCTGTCGTCGTGAACTGTTTGGGATTGGTGCTGATGCGGGGGTTGCCGTTGCAAGACGGTAGATTCTCGGCCTTGACCTCGATATTCCTCGCCATTGTGTGCGACTTGCATGAAATTCATCCCTAGCATGTCGACAGCAAACTCGCCATCTTGAAATGTGTGTCGCTGTTGAAGTGTGTCGCCTCGGGTCAACGCTCACGACCTCCTATTCACGAGCATGAGATCAGCGCAGAAACATCCGAGTTGGCAAAGGAGACGGCCAACTCGATCGTCGCGCTGATGCCCTTAAACCGGCAGGCGCACGCAAGGACCCAGCATGTTTTGGCTTCGTTGGAAACGCAACTTGGCGAACCAAGGCAGCATGCCTGCTGACACCTGCAACCAGCCGGCACCGGCTCCCAACGGCTGCTGGGCTGCAACAACCACCCCGGCCCAGCAAACGGTCTGGGCCAGGGGCGCCAAGGACAAGTACCGCAGTACGTACCAATTTAAAGTGGCAGAATTGCTGGGCCCAATCTTGCGGTTGCGTTGCAGCGAGACAACGATATTCTGGCTGGAACCGGCAAATTTGTGTGTCGTTTCGAGAATCTTGAACCCATCTTCCGTTGACCTGCGCGGTAACGATCCAGCTGCCCGATCGAATCCTTCGTTGTACAAGATTGAAATACGCTGTACCGTGCATCTGTATCCCGTACGCGGTAACATTAATCGACGGCTGCTGGGCTTGGCCCACTTCGACCCTTGCCCCCATTTCTGTGCCCAGCGTCCAGCTCCATTAAACCAACTTGCTTGCTTCATCCATCGACGACGCGCAACGGAAGGTTCCAGCGACAGAAAGAGCGTCCACGACTTGCTCCCAAGGGAAACACCCCTTTCCCGGCCGCTCACTCCTTACGACACATACCGCGGGCCAATTGTTTTCGAAAGACGCAAGCTTTGCTTCCCTTCTTGGTACGGTTTTTTTTTTCTAATTGACGAGCGAAACGAAGCGAAGCGACCTGTCATTTTGCCCCGGGGGCAAGCGACACCCATCCTCAACCCGATACCCCAGGACAAACCGCATGGTTTCCTCCCGCAGCAAGACGACCGACACCGGCTGTCGCGAGACCACATAAGCTCCGTCACCGCCTGGCGCTCTGCCGGAGCCCCCTCGAAATCTCAAAAAGGATTCACCACCACCACACAAAAATCATGGATCTCCTCCGCCGAGCTGGGAGGTTTGTTCCCGCGCGGAATACCCCCCTCCCGTTCGCCGGCGACAAGGACAAGTTGCGGCCACGGAGGACCTGGGCCTCGCGCTTCGCCTATCTGCGACGCCCGATGCGGATACGGGGCAACTCGGCCATCTCTGTGCCGTTGGGCGTGGTGCTGCTGTTCCCCGTCATCGTCATCATTTTAATTCTGGTGCTGTTTGTTCGCCACCCGAGCTCGACGGGGAGGATACTCATGCCCGCTGGTGCGCCGCCGGCAATACGGTGAGTCCCTGCATTTGCATATGGATCTGTGCACAGTCATGCCGCAGGTATGGAGGCACCCGTGAGATGTATGTCCACTAACCCTGTGGTCCCTGCAGAAAAATCAGCGAGAAGCACGACAAGGTCTTTGTCACCGGCTGCCTCGAGCCCGACACCTCGCAGCCCCGCGCCAACGCCGCCTTTGTCGTGCTGGCCCGCAACAAGGAGCTTGACGGCGTGATCCAGTCCATGAAGTCGATCGAGCGCCACTTCAACCGCTGGTACAACTACCCCTATGTCTTCCTCAACGATGGCGACTTCAACCAGACCTTCATGGACACCGTCAAGAATTATACCTCGGCCACCGTCGAATTTGGGAAGGTCGGCCCGGAGATGTGGGGGTACCCGGACTGGATCGACCCCAAGGTTGCCAAGGAGGGAGTCAACAAGCAGGGTGATAATGCCATCATGTACGGCGGCATGGAGAGCTACCACTTCATGTGCCGTTTCTACTCGGGGTGCGTCTATTCTTGGGGGAACCGCGCTGTGCGACTGAAACTAACTGGCGTAGCTTCTTCTACAAACATGAGCTCTTGGCCAAGTACGAGTGGTACTGGCGTTTGGAGCCGGAGATCAAGTACTTCTGCGACATCACTTAGTAAGACTGCCCCTTTACCCCTGAATGGCGCGAGCCCACAAGACTGACTTCGCCCCTCTTCAGCGATCCCTTCCTGAAGATGATCGAGCAGAACAAGACCTACGGCTTCACCATCGCCGTCAAAGAACTGCGCGAGACCGTCCCCAACATCTTCCGCTACGCCGCCGCGTACAAGCGCCTCAACAACATCGAATCGCAAGGTCTCTGGGAAATGTTCACCGAGCCGAAACCCGAGAAGAAAGAGCCGCCTAAGCCCGAAAAGCCCAAGCCGGCGCGCTTGCCAGACGTCGACCCGGAGGGCATGGAGGGCGAGGAGTACAACATGTGCCATTTCTGGTCCAACTTTGAGATTGCCCGCCTCGACTTCTTCCGAAGCAAGGAGTACGAGGATTTCTTCCAGATGATGGACCGCAGTGGCGGTTTCTGGATGGAGCGTGTATGTCTTCCCCTCCCTATTCTGTCCTGACAATAAGAACGAAAAAAAAAAACAAAAAGAACCCTTTAGAGAAAGACTAACCACCCACCAGTGGGGCGACGCACCCATCCACTCCCTCGCCGCCGGCGTCCTCCTCGCGCCCCGCGACATCCACTACTTTCGCGACTTCGGCTACCGCCACACCACCATCCAGCACTGCCCCGCCAACGCGCCCACCCGCCAGCTACCGCGCCAACCCTTCCTCGAGAAAACCACCACCAACGAACGTGAGCGCCGCGAGGAGGATGAGTACTGGGAGTCGTGGGACGAGCCCAAGGAGAATGGCGTTGGTTGTCGTTGCCGCTGTGATACGGATATTGTGGATGTGGAGGGGAAGGAGGGGAGTTGTTTGGCCGAGTGGGTTGATGTTGCGGGCGGGTGGGCGAGTCCGTAGATGGGATGAGTTCTCGATGTCTGTTGGCTGTCAACTATCTGGGTATTTATTTTCCAGCGTGGGCAAGGAGGGAGGGAAAAGGGGGAAGGGTGTGCTTGGTTGGTTGGGTATACCTATACGGCCTGCATAACAGGACAGGACAGGACACACTTGGCTTAAGGGCAGGGGGGTAATGTCATGATACAAACAAGACCGGCTGGAAGGTGGGCGGAGGGGTTATCCACCCACAACACGGCACAACAATTGGAAAACAAGGTCTGGAATTCCGGAGGAAGGGATAGGGGTGGCGGCCGCTTGGGGTGGGTTGCTTAGGTTGTGGGTTGTGTAGGTGTGGGTGTGGGTGAGCAGGTTTGGAGTGTGGACAGGTGTGGGTATGGGGCCTGGGGTTGGGCGTGGGTGTGTGGTGTGTTTTGGGTGTGCTTTTTTCTTACATACTACTCTACCTACCTAACCTACCTTAAAGTAAAAAGGGCGTAATAGGTTTTTTGTCTTGGTTGTGCTTTGTGTTTTTGTGGTCTTCCCGTTAGCTGTGTGTTGAGCGTATCAAAGAGAGGACAAAGAGACAGTTATCGGGTTGGGTTTTATTGTCTGTGTGCGGTTGGTGCGAGCTGGGCTAATACAGTGTAGCGGGACAAGGAAGAGCAGAGCGGGCCGGGGGGTGGATAAAACGCAAAAGGTTATATCACATTGGGGGGTGTTGTTCCCATGGAGTGGTTACAAATACATAGATACATATTAGGGTTGAAGCCGGTAGGGAGAGTTACAGCAGATACCATGAGAACATTGGGACGGGCCATATACATACACATGCTCAAGGCTGTTTGTTTATGGTCATGGGCGTTCTGATGTGTTGTTTTGACTGTTGTTCAGGGTATGTTAGGATGCTGGTCTATGGTATTGTGAGGCTGTCTTATCTTTTTACTCACTATATGCTGTTGGGTCATCCATCCATTGTAACTTGATGTCAAGTGGCTAGTTATAGATGATGTTGTGGAGAAAGATAAGGTGCTGAGGCAACATGATCGAGGTATGTCTTCCAATGCGCGCACCCAACAAAGCATTATTGAGACTTGCAGAAACAACTAGGACCTTCAGCACCTTTAACCATCGTCTAATTAACATCAACACGCTCCACACTTCACCAAATTCACATCACATTGTACATCAAGTTCCGGAAGACTCCTCTATTCCCAGGTGACTCCTAAACGCCGTCTACCGTTACACTGTAGGTCTATCTAACCTACACCCGCACCATTCCGCTCTGGAGTGTGTCGTGCCATGCCGCATGACACAGTCAACCCAGTTTTGTCTATCCGATTCCCGTCCCAAAAAGCCGATCCCAATTGCGCGCGCTAGATTGTGACCCCGTGAAGTGAAGTGAGTCGCCTCGATGAGGCAGCGCTGCGCATCATACCAGCAGCCGCATCATAGCAGCTGCATCATAGATAGCAGCCCCCTCTACCAAGCCGACCCACCAACATCGGTAACAGCGCCATGGCTAGCATCCCCAACAAGCCTAGCATACTTGGCCAGCACACCACGCATAGGCTTCATCTTCGGCGCCGTCCACACACCCCTACGACGAGCAAACTCCTTCTCAACCGCCTCAGCCCCCTTACCCGCCCCAGGAATCTCAACCACATCGATCCGGTTGGCAACGGCATCGATAGTAACGATGTCGCCGTCCTGCACCAGAGCAATGGGGCCGCCAACCGCAGCCTCGGGAACAACATGGCCAACGATGAACCCGTGGCTGGCCCCGCTGTAGCGGCCGTCAGTGACGAGCGCCACGTTCTTCAGTCCGGCGCCCATGATGGCCGCGCTGGCTTTCAGCTGCTCCGGCATGCCGGGGCCACCCTTGGGACCCTCGTAGCGGACGATGAGGACGAGGTTGCCGGCGTCGGGGCGGATGGCTTCGCGGGCGAGGGCGTCGCTGAGTTCCTGTTCCTTGTTGAACACCAGAACAGAACCGGTGAAGGAGAGACCTTCCTTGCCAGTGATCTTGGCGACGGCGCCGCCGGGGGAGAGGTTGCCCTTGAGGACGCGGATGTGGCCGGTTTTCTTGATCGGCTCGGACAGCGGGCGGAGGATGGTCTGGCCTTCGGGGAGGGACGGCCAGTCGCGGACGTTCTCGGCTAGGGTTTTGCCGGTGACGGTGGGGATCGAGCCGTCGATGAGGCCGTTGGCGATGAGCATTTTGAGGACGGCTGGGGTGCCACCGATGCCGTAGAGGTCCTCCATGTAGTGCTTGCCGGAGGGGGCGAGATCGGCGAGGAAAGGGGTGCGGTTGGAGGTGCGGTCGATGTCCTCGAGCGTGAGGGGGACGTCGGCTGAGTTGGCCATGGCTAAGAAGTGGAGGACTGCATTGGTGCTGCCGCCGAGAACGATGGTGAGGACCAGGGCATTCTCAAAGGCGCGGCGAGTCATCAGGTCGCGGGCGCGGATGTCCTTCTCCATGCAAGTGCGGATGGCTCCGGCGGCGCGCTCGCACTCACGGTGCTTCTCGGGCGAAGTGGCGGGGTATGATGAAGAGCCGGGCAGGGTCAGACCCATGGCCTCGATGGCGGTGGCCATGGTGTTGGCTGTGTACATTCCGCCGCAAGCACCAGCGCCGGGGCAAGCATGCCTCTCGAGGTCCTCCATGACGTCGCTGGGAGTGGCGTTTTCGCCAGAAGCCTTCTTGCATTTCGCCTGCAGACGGTTGTAGGTGAAAGCACCGGACGCCTCGTAGCAAGTCGAAATGTTGACCTCCCTGTCGAGCAGCTTGGAGTGGCCCTTGCGAATAGTGCCGCCGTAGATCATGACGAACGGGCGGTTGTGGCGAGCGGCAGCCATGACAACACCCGGCATGTTCTTGTCGCAGCCCGGGATGCTGATGTTGGCATCGTGACGTTGGGCGCAGGTGACAGTCTCGATACTGTCGGCGATAATCTCACGAGACTGGAGAGAGAACTTCATGCCTAAGTGGGGGTTTAGTATCAACGAAGAGTAAATAAAACAAAAGTTTAGGGGTTCTTTGTTTTTGTTTACTAACCATCGCCACCCATGGTGATGCCGTCAGAAACACCAATGGTGTTATACTGCCAAGCCAGCATCTTTTGCTGCTCGACCGACTTCTTCACAATGTTTCCCAACTCGAGAACTGCTCAAATGTTAGTAACATGTCCCTTTCCTTGTTTTGTTTGCTCCTATGTTAAGTATGTGTTGTTACTCACGGTGCGTGCTGAATAACAGATAGTTAGCATTGCCCAGTCATAAGGCGAAAAGGGAAATAATGAGTCCACTTACTTGCACGGGTTACCCTCCCACCAGACAGTAGCAATGCCGACGTGCGGCGCGTTCTTCATCATGTCCCTATTGGGGACACCCGCAGCGTACAGCATGGCCTAATAAAATCACATGTCAGTAAGCCCCGCTTCCCTTGATGCATCATTTTGCATTATCACGATCGATCGCCACGCAGTCTGTGACGTAAAAACGCCACACCGTGACTTTCGCCGCGAAGTTGGTCTTGTTCACCCCCACAAAGGAAAAGTAAGAGGAAGACCGAGTAAAACTTACCTGAGCACCGGGAAAGTCATGGCCACGGGTGAGAACGTGCGACCAACGGTTCAGGTTGCCACCGGTGGGCAAGACCTCCGGCTGGAGGTAGTCGCCCTCTTTGGGGACGTTCCGAACATTCTCTTCACCATTCCGGGCCGCGGGGGCCTCGTCGGCGTGCGGAGCCATGTTGCTTTTTTGGCAATTGAAGATTGATAATAATTGACTGTAGTTGGAGTCGGACTGCCGAGAAAAAAAAGTGCCAAGGCTGAATGTGACGGATGGGCAACAGCGGGCCGAGAAAACGTGGGAGGCTCCGGGTTTCCCGAAAGTGGCTTGCTAAATGTTGTGGTGTGAAGGAAGAAAAAGGTTGGCAGGCTGGAAGAGGAAGCTGGTATTTATAGCTAGGGCAGGAAGCACCCAAAAATTTTCACTTTTGGCTTGAACAGTGTGCCTGTTCAAGCTGTTCTCGAGTTTGAAGGGTTCTAATGCCTCTGTTCATATGAGATGGAAGGAAGATACGTGGTTCGCACCTGGAACAGCCAAGCTGAACTGGGCTTTTAAAGTCTAAAGAGCCCCGAACAGCCCGCCCCCTTTGGGCCCTGTGGAGTTTCCTCCTTCGCACCACCTGCAAGTGACTTAGCTCCGGATGACGAGCTCCATCGATTGCTCGGTTCACTCAGAGCAAAACCCTGATGACAGAGCCCGTCATGGCAATCGTTTTGCCGGGATTGGCTGTAGAACATGTGGAGGCCGCTAGAATCTCGGCTGGAAACTGAGCCATCCCTGTGTACGTTCCACTCTGGTCTAACACCAAACAGCCATGGAGAACGCCGGTCGCGGTCCGACGGGAACATGCTCGGGGGGCAACGGGCCTCTTTATGCAGCAGATCGGGATTCGCGATATCCTCCCTCAGTAACATGGACGGGCAAGACGGGGCACGATGCTGTGGTATCCATCGGCTTGTGTCCAGCAGGGGATACCCTCAAGTGGAATCCGCCGAGCGGCCGGCGTCGGCCGTGGCCCAGCAGACACCTGCATCAATGCAACGTGCGCGCCGGCTTCGAGAAGACCCAGTCCGGCCGGGCGAGATAAAAGACAAGCCAAGGATGGATGCAGACGACGGAAACGGCAAGACGGGCCAGCGGCAGCTGCAAGCTCAGACACGCTACACATGTACGACCAGAGACAGGCTCACAGGTTCACGGGCTCCTCATCTGCGGGGTCTCAACGAAGCATCTTGACTCGCCCACTCAGCGCAATGTACATACACAATGTAGTGTTATTCGTACAACGACAACATCAAACAATTCGCTCTGGGGACGTCTTTTTTTCCTTCGGTTCCATTTGGCCCGGCGCTGCGGGAATCGAGAAGCGAGGCTCGGCAAGCTACAGGGGGTGTCCGCCAATAACAGCACCCAAACAGCGGCCCAGAATCCCCAAATTCTCCAACTGCCCATTGGGGCCATTGCGGGGGAAGAAGAAAATGACGAAAGGGACAACTGTCGGCTGTCGCCTCGGGTACCCGACGATGGAAGGGGGGAAACACAAAGACGGAAACAGAAAGATAAGCCGGGCTTGGAGTCGGCTATTCTCGCATTTGGGATCAGGGTCAAGGTCAAGGTCTCGAGAAAACACCTTCCTCTATCGCAATGCATTTTTCCGGGCGCTGTTTTGAGGCAGGACCTCTAGGGCTGGGAGGGGGGGGAGGGGGGTTGGGAAACTGAAAAAAAAAAAAAAGCCAAGGAACCTTGACGACCAGCAATCGCAGCACATTTCTCTGCTTTTCGTCATTTTGGTTCGCTTTTCCATTCCCCATCCCGTCCCCCTCTCCATATCGGGGAACCCGAGGCAAGCTGAACGAGAGAGAGAGAGAGGAAAAAAGCGGCCCAGGCCGGCTCTTCGCTGCATTTGAACTGGGCATCTCTTCCGAGTGGCCGGGACAGGCTGTTCCTTCTGCAAACTTTCTGCGGCTGCTGCTTCTGGACCGGGGTTGGGGGAAAACGCGATGCGTCATTGCTGCATGGGGGGGTGTTTGGCCCCCGGCGTAGGTTGCATTGGGGACCGGGGGGCACATTTGGAACGAAGAATGGAAACATTGGAGTCAAGGATGGCGTTCACACTACTATCTAATAAAAATTTGGGATAAGTTTAACAACGGCTACACGTGTACTTAGTTATGTAGGATATTCAATCAACGTTTTTCGACATTTTAGTGTTACTGATGGGAAGCTTGCAGTACCCCCTGCTTGTACTCTGCATCCCAGTGCTTATCAATCAGGACAGTTTCACCCCTGCGAGCCTGAACGATATCCCTCTCCAGATGCTTCGATATTGCTTCAGTAATTTGCAAAAGAGAGCCTGCAAGAGAGAATCTGCAAAAAAGAACCACGGGTAATGTCAAATACCAACAATTCCACAGTGAAACCGAATCAAAAGGACCATGAGATTTTAGTAAGAGATGCTATTGCTCGATAGGAAACCGATATGAACTCCCCATGCCCTATCCACCCAAGCCAGTCAGATCATAAACCATCACCACCAACCATCCTCATCCCTGGTACTCAACGACAGAGTAAAGAACTCTCCAAGCGATCGACAAGAAGATAACAACAACAACAACAAACTACCCCTAGTCAACGCAGGTCTCAGCCGTAGTTGTAGAACAAACAACAAACGGGGGAACCAACGCCGAGACAAGCGTGAATCCAGAAAACAGAACCCATCAAACATCCTCTCATACCATCATCACATCGCATCACATCATGACAAACTCCCCTGCCAAACCCAAACCGTCGCCTTCCAGAATCAAGCCACACCCATCCCCACAGCCCCTCTCTCCTCCTCAATCCTCCTCACCAACTCCCTCTCACTCGGGCTCCGCGGGTTGGCATCAATCCCCAGAATCGCACTAATCCGCGTCTTATCCGGTTTGCCGTACTGTTGCTGGCGCTGATTCTGGTTCTGGTGAGCCGGATGACCCTGCTGACCACGATGCTGTCCACCACCACCAACAGAATAAACCTTATCCTCCGGACTCCCCACAGGCGTAATAGGCGTATGCGCAGCAACGCCCACATGGGCGGCACCACCGGTCGCGGGACCGCCAGGAAGCGCACTGCTGCTACCGCGCCAAGCATGTTCCAGCACCACGGGATTGGCACCCGGACCGTAGTCAGTCGCGACAGCAGCCCAGAAGGAGGCGCGGTGGGCGTTGTACACAGCTGTGAGCCGGCTCATGTCGACTGGGTGACTGGCGGGGCCGAGGAAGCTGGTGGCGGTGGAGGTTGAGGGTGGGCCGGGGAGGGTGCGGGATGGGGAGGTGGTTGAGGAGGAGGGTGGGGAGGCGGTGGAGGATACCGGGGGTGGGAGGGCGGAGCAGTCGAGTCGGAGGGCGATGGGGCCGTGGGGGTGGGTGTGGCCGTGGGGGTGCGGGCCGGTGATGGTGGTGCTGTGGCTGCGGGTGGGAGGGTGTTGGTAGCCGGTGGAGGTCATGGGGGGCATGGTGTGGGAGTGGTGAAGGTCGTGGAGAGGCGTGGGATAGCCGCGGGAGATGGTCGGGGATCCGGTGCCGGTCGATCCTGGGCCGCTGAGGGACCCCAGGGCTAGGCTCATGGATGCGGGCTTCGGGAGGATGGTAGGTAGGCGAGGCGAGGCGCTGTTTGTCGCGGTTGCTGACATGATGCTTGGCAGTTGGATACCGTTCGGGCTCGTGTTGCCGTATGTTGAGTCGGGGGGGGTGACGGATCGGCTGTGAGCGCCGACGTGCTCGTGGATCGGCGAGGTAATCGAGGTATGGAGAACTGGCGAGTGTCCGCTCACGGAAGATCCTGATGATAAGGAGGTGGTGCGCTTGCGGCGGTTGCTGCCGTGACTGAGTTGGTGGTAGTGTAGTCGGCATGCGAGCTCTGTCTTTTTCAAGTAGGCCGCAATATGTTTATATGGCATTTTTTGCATGCGCGTTTGGAGCAGGTAAGCTTCCTATTTATCACCATGATTAGCGGGGCTCACCATCCATGAAGGGAATCTGTCCATGGCATACCTCATCCTCGCTCCATGCTCGTCCGCCCCCTGTTGAGGCTGGCTTCCTGTTCTTGGTAATCCCATAGTCGTGCCGATCAATGGTGTCCGACCTAGGCGTGTACGGGCCATGCTGGGAGGTCATCTGCATTACAGGAGACATCCTGTCCCAATATCCGGATGTGTGTTGTTTAGGTGTGTTCCCTCAAAGACCACCGTTAAAATGTAATATTTGTGCCTGACAATCCAAGAAGCGAAGATGGGAGAAATACGGTGTCCCAAAGAGAAAATAAAATAAATGCAGTGCTAGCTGCTGTAAGAATCGAAGTCGTCTCGTTTCGGTATGGGTCGTGAACAACCTTTGACTGGTGCCGGGACGGAAGATGATGTTTCATAAACCCCCGTGAGACGAGAGGTAAGGGACGAAGTCGTCGGACAGCTGACCCGGGAATACGAAAGCGAGTCGACAAAATGTTGAGTGATGCTCGACGAAAAGGAGGTTCAGTCGTGCGAAGAAGATATAATAGACCAGATTATACCGTTCAATGGTGTAAGTACTCCTCTTCTAAATGAGCGTGGGCAGCCAAGCGAGTTGGACGGGGGTTGTAAAAAGAGTGACAACGTTAGCCGCGAGAAGAGAAATAAAAAAAGAAAAACGAAATACGCAACGGCGTAATGTTAAAAGTAAAAGAAATATTCACTGATGGCCTTTTGGAAGGTCGGGAAGATAGAAGAGAAGAGGCAAAAAGGGCCTTCATAGTGGAAGACAGAAACGATGGATAATAATGCATTCTCTCTTGTTGCATGACGTCCGGCTGAGGCTCATCCAGTCCTGCAGGGCGGACAGGGGGTGGACACACCCCAGACCTGCGGCCTGTTACAGACCTCTGTGGAGACGCCTGTCGGGGGGGGTAAGGGGGCCGGGGTGGTGGTTACACTTGGCCTGGGGTGAAGTTGGGAGAGTTTGGTGATGTGCAGGGTAGCGGGTCTCTCGGCCCGCGGAACGGCCCTGTCAGGCCAGGCCAGGCCTGGATGGAGCAGACGACGAGGAAAGAAAGAAAAAACACGACGTTTTGTTTTGGTATGAGAGTGCCAGCATGATGCTGGTCGCGCGGTTTGCGCGAGTTGGGCGGAATGTTATGTGGCCGCGCTATTGAATCGTCGAGAAGAGAATGTATCTGCGATCATCCCAACACCAGACAGCAATTCTGGACAATCGAAACGGACGTGCACACACTTCGCGCTCGGCCCCTGTCAACACATCAGCCAAGACAGAAGTGCCCGGTTGAGAACGATTCCGGGCGATAGGGGTCTGGCACAAGTCATGCCCTTGCCCCAAACGTCCAGAGTCGGGATCAAAAACTAATCGAATACCCCGCCAACGGCACGCGAGAACGCTCCTTGCCGGGAACGACTTTTTTTTTCCCTCTGAAATGCGATCTTTCCACGCCCGGTCCAGGTCACCATCGGACACGCTTAGCGAAGGGGGTAGCTCTTCAATATCGCTCTAAAGGTGCGGTGATGATAAGGGTGCCTCGACTCCGCCTTGCTGTTTGTCTTTGTGGGGGCATTGCAACAGGCCGGATTTGAGGCCTTCTCACGGCGCGTAAGGTGAGTCGGTCGAGGACGCATTGGAGACGGTTGTGGATCTTTTGTGTTGTTCGAGGCCGTCTATGGACGGCCAGCCAGAAATAGACGACGGCAGACGCGGGAACAACATGCAAATCCAGAATGCGATCAAGTCAGTGGTTCCCAGAGACGAGGCTCAATCCGATGTCGCCACAGCGCGGCTTGCGAAAGGGTGCATTGAGGTCGTGGGACGTTGACCCGGACGGCAATACCCCGCAGACGGCGGCGGGGTGATTAATTCACGTTTTTCTGTTGAGCGTAATGAGTGTGCAAAGGTACCCGATTCTTGGTGTTCGAATTGGAAGCAACGATGGGAAAGACGTTTGACACTCTCGCTTGTCGTTCTGGGCAAGTGTCGCAGATCCGTCCTGTGCTTATTCTCGACCCACCATTGGCTGTTGTATCCCTGAAGCTCCACATTCAGGGCCTGAGGCTCTGGCAGTGACCCGCTCTCGGTTGATCTTTCTCCCACAACGGACCGCTCTGTTTTGTTTGGCATTCTTGCCGCGAGTTGAAACGCGAATTTGTTTCCATTGCGCGATCCAGTTGTCAAAACCGCCGCCGGCAGTCGGAATCAAGGACGAGAACAAGGAAAATGGCGGTTGAGCGACAAAACCCGAGCAGTAAAATTCTCCCCGACTCCCAACCCACTCCCGGAACAAAACCTTCGTTGGAACGTTATCGCCCCGGCAAAGACGCCCAGCCCCGAATGTCCATGTTGGGTCGGTGTAAGTGGCCGGCGGCTCCGCGCGCGGCTACCGAGTACAGACCTTATTGACCTCATCTGAGCCCGACTGCGGGGGCCGATTTGGCTGAGGCACAGCAAAGAAGCTTCATGCGAGACACCAACCGCGCCCGTTGGCCTCACCCGGCTTTTAAGGTAGGCCCGTCCACTCTCGATCACTGCATTGTGTGTGCGAATTCGCAACCAAATCCCGTACTGTTCCACGAAGAACTCATCTATCATATGATGTACGGGACTGGAAAAAGCTAACTCTAGACTATGGGAACTTATTCGGCTGATCTTTGTTGCCTACACTAGATCACCATGACCGCGAAACTCTTCTCATCTTCAGATGAGAGAATCAATTGTTCCCTTGGGCGTCGTCTTCGAGATACCTAGTTACAGGGAACATCATTCGACAGCCCCCCTGCTGCAGGGTTTCAATCGGTTCCAGCCACTGGGTGGAGGTCCCCTCAAACGTGCAAGCCGTTGGGCCATTCTCAGCCGTGTCTCAGGCCATGCCGAATCGGGCCTCCCCACACAAGCCCAGACCGCCCCGCGACCACCCCACCAAGCACCACCCCCAAAGAAAGTCGGACGACCGCGAAGACGACCTGGGACGGTGATGCTGTGCCTCGCGGGCCACATGGGCAGTTCGCCACTGCTTCGTTCGTCCCGGCCACGGGGTTCGGTCAATCCGGTGCCGGCTGATGCAAACCATCGGTCGAAACATGCACAAATGCACGCTTGACAGAATCTTATTTCGTTTAGATCGAAGATGGTCGCGGCTCGCCAGAAGAAAGTTGTCAGACAGCGGGAAGTATCCCATATGATGTGAGTTTAGCTACTGTGTTCTCTAACCAACAGTAGGTCGGCGATATTGTTGAGGCCCAGCAATCCTAAACCAAGCCTGCCGCATGTGTTTGGTTTGTAGATGCACGCCGTCTGATGTCAGATATGGATCGATTTGCCCGGCGGTCCTCCCGTTCCCGGGAATCCCGAGGAACAAAACGAAGACGGGTGGCAGTCAGTAGACCAGAACGGCTCCATACAGATGCCAAAACGCCAGGAGAAACAGGGTGGGTTTCTCTGCATGTCAACATGCCCGCATTTCGCCACTTCGTCACGAACCCAGCACAAAGTGCTTGACGAAGGATCTAACAGATGCGGTTTATGGCCATATCAGGGCCCTCCATTGCTGGCGCAGCGCTTACCGTAACAGTTTTGCTCAACCGGCCGCCGACAGCGGCCCACCATACACATCACAGTCGCGCGGCTACTGACGCCAAACCGGGGTCTCGGGCATACCACCCTCCTCATAGCACAAACAGCTCCCGTTTAGGGGCCATTGAGCGCTGAGAGAAAAGCAGAGCAGAAAGAGCCCACCCTAAGTCTGCGTGTGGATATCGGTTAGCAAGAAATGCAATCTTGGTGTAACACACCACTGTCTCCTCCCGTTTGGGGGCCGATCCCCCGGCCATGTCAAAGCACCACGGGCTAGGTTTCGCAGCCCCTTAGATCGATGCAACGAGGAAGCATGACACCAGTCGGCTGCCGTCCTGGAATCCCATTTCCCTCTTGATTAGAGAAGGCCGTCTAGATTCTCTATGAGAGGATGTTCCTCGAATCATTTGGTGCGTCCATCATCCGAAGGTGATGGAATGGGAGGCATTGATGGCCACCAATTCATGTGCTGAAGCGGGATCGCTGCATGGAATACCACACGGCACGCCCCCAAGATCTAGGCTTAAAGCATGAATATTCTCCCCGGATCGCTGAATATTGATGCTCGACATGATACTCACCGTCGTTGATCCGCACATCGGGCAGATAGTTCCCACCCTCCAACGACACACCGGGCGCGCTTTAGCAAGAAGAACGGTGCGCAATCCCTCATTTCCTGGGTTTCAAGACTCACTCGCCAACATACGAGTTCTAGACCACCCGGATCAGGGTACTAGAAGTATCACTGATGTTCAGAGGAGCAGGCGACTACCTCGATTCGTTCCATACTTTGCTGCTGGCCGTCCGTAGGTTCAGAACAAAGTCTCATTCCTGGCTCCGTCTTCCCAACTCTAGTCTCCGAAAAAAACAGCGAGACTGTGAAAACCCATTCCGCTCTATCTACCCATTCGCAGACCGGTTTCTGAGTTTGTTTCCCGTTTTGATCACCTACATACGGGCTACGAAAATCCCGGAGAGATGCAGTTGATCTACTCTCGCGAAAACTTTGACCATCCCCCGCTCACATCAAAGAGACTTGGCCTCACACTCACACAAACGATTCCGGGTTATTCCTCTAATCTTACCAACAGACTTCAGACGAGTCCGTCAAAACACTCAATGCGTTAGAGGAATGGCTCGCTACTTTCTAGAAGGACCTTAACCCTCAGATCACAGCATCGAAGATGCACATGAAGGCTAGACCAGACGAACTAAACGATCATAAGACATGTCATAAACCCCCGGCCCACTCAAGCACTGGTTCACCGCGTTGCATGAATCAAGCGATGTGGCCGGCCCCCATGTGGACGCGCTAGGGCGTGATCGACCGACCGGTGCTTGTCTTTCGCCGTGGACTGCAACGATAGACCTTTTGACGTTAGTGAAGGGTGATTTGTACAACCTTGGCTCGGTGGTTGCTGTTGTTGTTGATCTCAGCATGGAGTACATCTGTGGGAGATGACTGCCGCGAGAATTCTGCGGGAACATGTTCGTAGCCTCAGGGGGTCTACTAGGTAGTCGATCGGTGGAACCGAAAGACCCTCCCCCAAAGCACTGTCAACGGCTGAGCTCCGATAAACGTGCCAACCAGACCCTCTTCTCTCTTTATGTGGCCCTCTTCATTACTCTGTCCGATAGGAGGCGGAGGGCTGTTCTCGAGTGATGGGGCAAGTGGATGAGGCTATTGGGGAGTGGGCTTGGGAATGCCAAACAACCTTCACGACAAGTCGAATGCAGGCACACAGACGTCGGTCTCCTTGACTTGCCAGGTTATGCGTGCTGTTGTCGCTAATATGTTCAGTCTCAAGTGTCCTTTGTCCTCAAGGTGTGAGGGTGACGAGGTCTGAGCTTACTTATCGTCTCAGACAGATGCCACATTGTCATTCACGTTTACCTAGCCGCAGGTAGGGCACCATGCTATACCGAGCATCGTATCTGATGTTGGGGATGCATCCTGCCTACTGTCTACTATATCTCCGCCCAAGGGGCCGGGTCTTCGCTCAACATTGTGCCGACTTCCAGTCACTTTCTGTCGAGGGAAAGGTTTGAGTTTCCGCGTAGGAAGCTGCCCAAAATCGTACTTTCACGTTTCGAGGTACCCATTCGTCATCTTTACCCTTGTTGTAATGATGCTCTCTCCTTCGTTATGTTTCTACTCACTTCACTGATTTGTCTTTAGTTTGACGAAAACAATAGCGAGGAGTCAAAAAGGTGTGGTATACAGGACCATCGTGTTATTTACACTCCATCACCCCCGGCCTTCGACAAGGGTCTTATTTATTACCAGTGGGCAGGTATAACATGAGTCTGCATCTCAGCATCGGTTCTGGTACCTGTCGGTACACACCTTTTGAAGATGTAACGGTAGGATCTACAAGAGGATTCCTAGCTTGTTACCACCGATAACTTGCCAAGCTAATCTGCGGTTCATAAGTTTAGCTGTAATCACAAGTTTAGATAACGGGGTTGTCGAGAGTCAATGAAGAGACCTTGCTATGTCTAAGCCCCTGAGCCCCGTCAGAAAGCCAATGCAGTTGGCCGCAGACAAGACTTGTACACTATTTAGCTGAGCGTGCGGAGGAGCAAAGAAAGGGATAAGAAAACAGAGCCATGGGAAAAAGCAGTAACCACGATAGTGCCGTGAAACCCAAACTCGAGGCTGCCTACATCTGGCTTCGTCTTTGTCGTACACCTGTAAATCATCGAGCATCCCTTTAGGAGTATCTTAGACGCCGGATCACGACTCTTGCTACATCGACTTGGTCGCGGTCCCAAGATACCTTTCGTCTTTACATGGTTGCCTCTCTGCCCTTGTGGCTGATTGTCTGACCCCGTTATACATTAACTCGAAGAGCTTTGGGAATTTCCCGGTCCCGTTGAGGTATTTGCGTGAAGGGCCCTGCGGGAGTAGCCGACCGTTGGACGCCGGCCTGTGCTTCGATTCTTTGCCCCACCTGTGCGGGGTCTCTCGCATCTCAGTCTGGACTCTTGGCGGCGATAGCAAGTCCTGGACGGCGATACAAAGTACATTCCATGCCATGCCTCATTGATTGGTCTGCCGAACCCAATTGCAATTTGGGTACGTTTATTACAGGAGGGCTTGTAGTATGTGAAAGCAAAACGGCACCTGCACCTGTAAGGCGATTAGTCAGACCGGATATCAACTCGAGCCTATTCGTACTGTTGGATGGAAATTGGGGAGTGACCAACGACGGCCCCACTAAAAAGCCCGCAATGGTTGGCCCACCCGACCTGGCACATCCATCCAGTATCCCAGCCAGCCAAGACCAAGTTGGACGCGACTTCTGGCGCAAGTACATTTCTGAAAAGATAACTCAGCGGCCTCGTTTGTTCGAACAAAAACCCTGTTTTGCCCACACTTCCAGGTTTTACGAATAGTTCCAACGATTTGGTCAAGAACAAAACTCCAAACCCACCGCCCAAAACCAGCCACGCACCCGGATTGGAGACCGTTCCGCGCATGCATGACGCTTCCCCGCCGTCAAATGCTTGAGGCCGTCCAATCTGTGCAACGACAACCACAACAACACGCGCCATCGTTGCCAGTCCAGAGGCTGACGGCGTCGCCAAGACTCGTGCAAGTCTCGCGCTGTTGCTCCCTGCATCAGCCCGCACTGCTCGAAACTATCCGAAGAAGCAAAGATTCGAAGACTCAAACGGCCAACAGCCAGCTGCCAGGTGACGTTGGTTGGAGTTCGACGTTGCGCTGACGGTCCGTTAGACCCATTGACGGCCCGAAGGCGACATCTCGGCACCCGCAGGTGGCTTGCAGCCCTGGTCCAGTGACAAAGGTTTTTGGCCTCGAAGTCACAATCCCCGCTTTGGCCCTTCGCACAAAACCCGATCCACCCCAAGCTCCCACGCGTCTCTGAGGTCACGGAATCCTTCCAGGTTCTCTCCACCCCCCAGCCCCAGCCCCCCATTCCCGACACCCTTCCTATCGGTCGGTCGAGGTACTTCTGCCCGCATGTCTTGACACTGCGTCCCAAGGCACCACACACGGGTCACGCACGAGTACTTCCTTTATCCAAAGAATCAACGCCGCGCTGTTACTTGGAGTCTTGCGACGCGCCGATTTTCAGGCCATTTCGCCCGTAAGTACCTTTCGCTTTCATCCTATCCATTGTTTATTTTTTTTTCGAGTCGTCGCGACCTCGACTGTCGCAAGCCACTGCACCGCGCGACCTGCCGACGCGCGTGCTGCATAATACGCGCATTCGCTTTTTGCTGCCCGCTGCCGGTTGTTCCGCGCGCAAAGCTGCCTTTAGACAACTGGGCTAGACCAGCTTGTTGCGAGGTTGCTGGGCGATGGGTACAGCGTCCTCGACCCTTTTCGCAGTCGGTGCCACGCGGACCGCACTGCACAGGGTTCGGGGGCGATTGCGAACATGTCTTTCGCAACCCCAAAATGTTTTTCCAACTACCTTGCGCCTGCCTGTTATCAAAATCTACTCGCAAATATCGCTCTTTTGCGCTCACTAACGGGTTTGTCGTGCGCTTTTAGATCATGCAGCAATGGACTATCCCCCCGTTCCTTTACTCCAACTCCACCAACCAGCCCAATGACCTCCAGTAAGTACCTTGTTCCCATGTACCATGTTCCCTCGAGCTGCCGCGCCACCCCCGGACGTCTCTCTCCTCATTTCATCCTTATGTACCCGATGTACTCCCTCCATTTTGTTTCTGTCTTGCCCATTTTCGGGGGTACTTGAAAGGGAATGAACAGACCGCCTAAAGGGACGTCTCTTCCTGTCGCTTTAGCTTAGCATTTCGTCATCACCACCCCTTTACGCATTCAAGTCCCTTCTTTTAGCCATCAAGGTTCCTTCCTGGCACCTTCCCTCCCCCGTGTGTGAGGCGGGTCATTGCCTATGAAGAAACAGCGAACAACAGGCCAATTTCATTCATGGCGTCCTCCCCAGGCAACATCGTCGCCTTCGCTGCAACAGCAGCCGCAGCAGGCATTACATGACCCATTACAACAACGGTCATCTTCAGACCCCAAGTTATTCATTAACCAACCCACCTGGTACAGTCAATCACCTTACGCGGCCCCGCAACAACAACAGCAGCAGCAGCAGCAGCAGCAGCAGCAACCGCAACCGCAGCCGCAGTCTCAACAGCCGCAACAGCAGCAACAGCAGCAGCCCCAGCAGTCGCCCCAGCAGAAACAGCAACCTCAGCCTGACATGGGTCGACGCGACCAACCTGTGGACTATCGAGGCTACCCCACACAACCACCTCAGGGATCGAAGGCACAGCAGCAGCAGCAGCAGCACGCACAGCACACGCAACAACACCATCCCGCCCCGCCCGTGCAGCCTCATGCCCAACAGGGCCAAGCTCCACAGCCCCAGCAACAGCCGGTCCCTGCGCCGGCGCCCACGCAGTCCGGGAGACGGAAGCGCCCGGCGCCCGGCTCACACCCGCCTGCGCAAACCCCACAACACGCTCCACAACATACCCAACAGCACACTCCCCAACATCCCGCCCAGCATGCACCGCAGCACGCGCCTCAGCATGTCAAGCATGCACCGCAGCATCCATCGCAACATGCTCCGCAGCATTTGAAGGGACCTCAGCCTGGCCAACTTCAGCAGCAACAACCACAGGTCGTGCAGACTGCGTCTATGATACCACCCAAGGGATCGCAACCACCTCCTCAGCCCCAACAGCAGCAACCCCAGCAGCAACAGCAGCATCAGCAACCGGCCCACCACCCGCAGCATCCACATCACCCCCAACACCAGCAACACCCGCAGCATGCCCAGCATGCCCAGCAGCACCCGCAACACTCCCAACAGCAACACCCTCAGCAGCAGGCTGTCCCTGCCCAGGTTCCTGCACATATCCCACAACCACCCGTTGCTGCGCCGGCACAACCCACACCCACCGACGACACGCCGGCCCCGCCGCCTGCGAAGAAGAGCCGGACTAATACCCCATGGACGCCTGCCGAGGAGTTGCGGTTGAAGCAGATGCGTGATGCCGGAAACAGTTGGGCCGAAATCGCTAAGGTAAGCGGTCGGGCACCGTGACACGCGTGCTATGCTAGCTAGTGAGATGCTGACAAGGTCCTAGACGTTCCCTGCTCGTACGGAGGGTAGTGTTAAGAAGCACTGGTACAAAGACATGCATTATGCTGAATTTGCCGAGGATGAAGTATGCTCCCCTTGCCCAATCTGAAAGTAACGGTTATAAGGTTACAAAACTTAACACCCCCGACAGAAAGCGGCGTTATTCTCTGCAATTAAGGAATACGAGAACAACAAGTGGAAAACAATCGGACAGAAGGTCAACAAGCCGGCCAAGGCTTGCGAGCAATACGCGAAGGAGCACTTTCCTGGTAAGCCACGTTGAACAAGTTGGGCGTTTCGTGTCACTGACCGTGGTATAGACCTCTTTCCTGCACAGAAGGGACGGTAGGGCGAAGCTCTACCTCTCTCTTCATTGGCTGGCTCCGTGAACGTCAATTAAAACGGTGACGGACGGAGAGTGCGGGGCGCCATTCCACGACACAGAGCTCTGGAGTTTATGTATACTTTGCTTGATTTGCTCCCGTCGAGGCGTTCACCAGGGCTCTGGGCACACCCTTGACCAAAACGGGTTCGCAAGATTAGTTTTATGGGCAGCTGGCGGCGGTGAATTCCCACCGTCTAATTTCTTCGGGTACCTCGGCGCGGAGAGTTGGGAATTCCGGGCCACCTGCGGAGGAATTCCGATTTTTTTTCTAGGAACGTCCCATTGAGGACAAGTATATTTTATTTACGGTCTCGGTTTCTTCCCGACGTGCTGGTTATCCCAGCACCAGTCGTCTTTTCGTCTGCCTCAGTGCTCGACAACGGCCCGGGAAGATTGTTCATGGCTCTGACACGGACGGGCTATTCCGCTGGCCACGAGCGCGGGGATCAGGCCTGGTCAGACAAGGGCTGTTTCTGTCGTGGATGGATGAAGGAGGGTACTTTCCTTACTTGGAGACTCGTCGTCGCGAGACATAATCTGTTTTCATTGTCTACGTATATCTCTAGCTGGGGGGAGGGGGGTGGGCAATTTGTTTTGCTTGGCCATTGCGGATATGGCGGGAGCTACTTTGAGTTTCCTTTCAGCGAACTTTGGTGAATTTGAAGTAGCGAAGTCTTTACGTTTTCGCTGGACTTTCAGTTAACTCTATGCTGATCGGTTCTCGTGGCACAAATCCAAAATCGAATAACCGGCAATAAAATTATCAAGGATTGTTAAATGATTGTAAGTGACATTTTGTCGTTGATCCTCGACCAGGGTCATTTTTGCTTGTCAACCCGAAACAAGTTGCTTCGTGATCACTGCTACGTTTCCTCTTCGATGTACAGTATGTGTACATAGGGGCTTACAATAATCGGGTTGAGCCCTTCCCCCCAGAGACTCTCTACGTCATCGCCAAATTGCTCACGCGAGTTGTTTCTGGACGAAATGTTCCGGCCTTGCTAGCTTGCTAGGCTGATCACGTTTATCACGAAGTTTTGTCGAGCCTTTCCTCAAATGGGTTTGGTTCTTGGATGTTTCGGTTCTGTGGGTCCTTTGGACCCACTGATGCACGCTGATCTGCAGGAGTCCGCTGGGGTCGATCCATGCTCGGTGATTGTGGGACAATGACGAGCCTTTGGTTAAGTGCTCGAGGACGAAGGAGTTACTTTGAGTTAACTATACGATCAATTGGTTCCCATCTAACTTTACACTACGAAGTACAGTCGGGGCTACTCCAGGGCTGTCAGTATCAATTAGTAGAGGCCACTTTTTCGAGATGCGATACATTTGAGAAGAAGAGTTTTCTCCGTCCGCGTGTCTGAAGTCTACTTTGGATCAGCCGTGTCGATTGGATCGGCTCAGGAAGAACAACTGGAACAAAACCCACACAGAAGCAATCCTACCTACCATTTCCCGCTCCGATCTCTCAACCGCGCGTCAACTTCTGGATTGGGGCGGACATGGGGTTCAACATGTTCATGCTCTGATATTGGATTTCCCCTCTTGTCTCCTGCGGCTGCGGAATGGTGCTCCGAGGAGACAATGGTAACGTTTCTCATGGAGAGATAAAGAATTCGTTTCCGTGAGGATAACTCCGCTGGCGTAGACGGCGTTAATTGACGGGCGTCTGAGATTTTGTCTTTTCCTTCACATCCAACATGCCCTTCAATACGAGGACATTCCTTTAGCTTGGCAAAATGAACCGCGTCGGGCTGGCGGGATAGCGCAACAATTATTTGGACGGCCAAGGCTGCCAATCAGAAACGACATGGAAAGACAGAGTCTAGATGCAGCCACATCAACGCTGTAATCTGGGGGGGAACGAATTTGTCTTAAACCCGGAAAATGTACTAAAGTAAACAGAATGAAACAGAAAATAAAAGAACGGTCTTAGTGTTCGAGATCTGATGCGAATACACTAGTTGTGAGGCTCATGACGGATAAGTGTGAAATTGCGAAGGGACTGTGGACGTGCAAAGCTTCGGTTCGAGGGCCCGAGACATTTTGACCCCGTTGTGCAGTCGCGGAAGGGCTGCAGCGGCACGATCCTCGGGTGCAGCTAACTTGTGGGGTTAAAGGTTGTCTTCCCTCAGGCCGAACCAAAACATCAAGTATGTACGGGAAAATAGAAAAAAGGAAAGAAGGGAAGATATATTTCCTTAGTAGTGTAATGCATCTGTTCCCTTGATGGTCGGACAGGAATGGGCGCCGCTGAGGGCTTATTCATAAAGGATAGGGCTCAACGGCGCTGCATTTCAACCCTCCTCTTCCCTTCGCGGTGGCGCTTGCTTCAACACGAGGAAATGTCCCCACTGCTTTTGCAGTCCATGTGAGTGGCCGATTTTGGGCAATGGTCCAGTTTTGTGCGGCGCTGAAAGGGTGTGGTTGCCATTTTGAGCCGGAAATGGAACGGCGCTGGGGGCACGCGTTCCCCAGTTGGCTCCACTGGTCCCAGGCCAAGAAAGCGAACAGCTGCGGAATGGAAGCTCCATCCCTTGCTGACCCTTGTGGGGGAAAAGAGAGAGCCCGAGACCCGTTGTTAAATTTGACCCGCTCGGAAATCGCGCCACATCCCTCGTGCGCATCCTCCCCCCCTTTCCACCCAACTTCTTTGGTGTCGAAGCCTCGTAAAGGATTCTTCCTCTTACACAACCCCCCCTCTCCATGAGAGCAGACCTTCGTTTTTTATTGTTGTTAACCCTCGCTACCTAATCCGACGCCGTACTCGCCGCTTGGAAGATCCCTCGTTATTTCAACATAATAATTATTCGCCCGTTCGCTTTTTCTTTAGTTCGAGTCTCGTCAACTGCAGGAATCCGCGTTGTCCTCCGTTCCATCCGTTGTGGTACACGATCCGGTCGCTTTTTCCGCCACACTCCGCCCTCGAATCTCGATTCTGTACTCCTTGTGCAGTATCCAACTAAAATAATATCGATTCGACCAAATCAGGACCTACCCTCCTCGGCTTGTGCTCTGACATACCGCATAACCGGCCCTCTAGGCACTGCGACCAGGAGCCTGGGCTTGGAGTTGGGTTCACGGTTGGACGTGGGGAGACGTTGTAGCCGTTTGGGAAATCTCCGACTGTTTTTTCTTTGTGTCTAAGACACGGCCGTTCGCTCCGAATATCTGAAGTATCTCGACTTTCACGATGGTCCGTTCGTTACTGACGCTGGGTGCCGCCGCGCTCCTCGGCGCGACGGCGGTCTTGGCCGACGACATCCCGACATGCTCACTCGACAAGAAGTGCCCTGAGAGCGCTCCTTGCTGTTCCCGTGAGTGTACCTTGGACACGGTCCTTGAATTGGTTCCCCTGACGGCGTCTACTGTTTTGGAATCTACGGAGCACGGCTAACACGGATACCTGCAGAATACAACCAATGCGGTGTCGGCGCGTACTGCCTGGGAGGCTGCGACCCCCGCATGTCCTTTTCGCTTGACTCGTGCGTTCCCGCGCCGGTGTGCAAGGACATGACATACAAGATGGACTCGTTGGACCGGTACAAGGATATCAGCGAGTACCTGGGTGATTCTAGCAAGACCGACTGGGTCGGGCAAGGTGAGCCGTTGCTGTACGACGGCAACGTGCTCCTGACTATGCCTCCCAAGTCTGTTGGCACCGTCTTGGCCACTACTACGTACATGTGGTACGGTAACGTCAAGGCGCGTCTTAAGACATCGCGCGGTCGCGGTGTTGTCACGGCTTTTATTCTGTTCAGTGATGTCAAGGATGAGATCGACTACGAGTTTGTCGGTGTCGACCTGCAAACCGCGCAGACCAACTACTACTTCCAAGGCATTCCCGACTGTGAGGCCCCCTATCATTTCGGGGTTCTCGCCCCCGTCTTCTTGCGGTGCTATACTAACTGTCATAATAGACGTCAACGGTGGTAACGCCACGATTGAAGGCAACTCATACGACGATTTCCACGACTACGAGATCAACTGGACTCCCGATGAGATTCAGTGGATCATCGACGGCAAAGTTGGCCGCACCAAGAAGCGCTCGGAGACCTGGAATGCGACCTCCAACCAGTGGGCGTACCCCCAGACCCCGTCGCGTGTGCAAATCTCCATCTGGCCCGGTGGTGCCGACACCAACGCCAAGGGCACTGTCGACTGGGCCGGTGGTGCCATCGACTGGAACAGCGACGAGATCAAGGACTTTGGCTACTACTTTGCCACATTCGCGGAAGTCAGCGTCAAGTGCTTCAACGCCAACTCGCCTCCCGGAACCAACAAGGCCAACTCGTACTACTACAACAACATCAAGGGCACCAACGACACCGTGGTCGATTCGGACAAGCCTACGATCCTCAAGAGCCTCCTCGGCACGGGGACCAACATGAACAAGGGCGACGGCAGCTCCAGCACGACCGGCGCCCACCCCTCCCACTCCTCTGGCGCCAGTGTACCCGGTGGTGGCACCGCCCAGGTTCCCGGTGGTACCAACCCTGGTGCCGGGACCGGCAACGGCAACGGTGCCAACCCGAACGGCGACGGGTCGGGGTCGAGCAACTCCGGCGGCAGTGGCTCGGGCACCAGCGGCGCGTCGCCGTGCCAGGCCAGCGGCTTCTCGCAGTCGTGTGACGAGGGCGGATCGAACGGTGGGACCAACCCGAACAGCGGCTCGCGTGTGGCGGATCGGACCCTTGGGGCCAGCGCGTTCGCGGTGGTCATTGGGTTTGCGGGGCTGCTTTTGCTTTAAGGGGGTGATGTGGCTCGTGTGTGGCGATTCAGGGCGTGGAGGTGGGCGTGGTGGCGATATGGGATGAGCGATTTGCGAGCGTGGTAACCATCTATGTCTTAGGTGTTTTGGGACATATGACTGGGCAAAGTGGCCAAGTAATGTGTGGAGGAAGAACCTGACGATGCCGACCGACTCGACGTGGTATTCTTTGGAAAAGGACCTACCTAATCAGGCAACATCACATCCGTATCATATCACCGCCCGACGCTTCATAGCCCAATTCGTTTTTGCTTTTTTTATTCTCTGCTTTCTTTTGATCTCTTGGACTGATGGAGGGAGGGGGTATATATCCGGATATGGCTGGCGTATTCAATCACTCTAATGTCTTGTTTACTTCTTGATTCCCATGTTTATGAATTGCTCTTGGACGTACTTGCTTGGGTAGTAATACAACCTGATACTGACTAACTTCTTGTCTTGTGAGCGAGTTGATGCGTTGCGAATGATTCTCTTTGTTGGTGTTAACTTCATGCAAAATTGTTATAATACATGGTATTATTTACACAAGCGGTAAGGCTCCGGGTTTGATTGATATAATTGATATATTTGGGGGTAGCTAAGCTCTCACAGAAATAGACACTGTCACATGAAATCGTTCATTGTTTATAATTGCTCATTGTTTATCATAGCCCCGTTGGTCCGGTAACGTGTCAAAGTAACTCGGCGAGCCGTGGGACTTTATGATGATGATCTCCTGGAGTTGGTCGAATATTGAGCTTTGTTCTTTCTTTGTTGAGCAATGTCCCGGTTCAACAAGCCTTTTCATTACCTACCTATATTTGTATTGTGGGTTGTATCCATCATATGCTCAGGTCGATGTATCTTAAGCGGTCAACTCAATCATAAAACGGCCGCAGAAAGAATTCAAGTCGTAGGAGCCAAAATATAGATTCCTTTGGGTTGAAGGGGAGTATATAAAACCGCTCATATTCTTACTTCCGTTCCATTTCGTTCCCAAGCCGCCTTGTCCCTATCGAGTCCTCCACGACACAGAACACACTAGAACACACGCTGAAACCGTCGCTGATATCCAAACCACACACTATGCCTACGCTTCCAACCCATGCACAATGCAGCGACTACGATCCAGCCTGGAAAACACTCTCCTTTGATGTTCTCGCTGGCGCTTATGCTGCGCTTGACTTCACTACTTGTTCAGGATGCAAGGCTCAGTTCCATGCCTTGGTCAGGTACGCGGCTGATAAGGTCATAGAAAAAAGCAAACGCAACGCCAAGGAGAAGCCGGGGTCGTATATAGCCGAGGTGACCACGAGCGACGACGGGACAATCCAGATATCGACGACAGCGAACCCGGACTTCCCTGTCAAGCTCAGCGATGCTATCAACATTCGCCGCTAATTTGACCCCCAAGCTATGGAAACCACACTGGAACGGTTCTATAGCGTCCTTCCCCAGACAGGGAATGACACGCTCGGTCTTGCCCAGACCCAGATATGGCGTGCCCTGTACGGGACCTACGAGCTGTCCGATGCCGTCAGGGGTCGACCGATTGCTCCCTTTGTCGAGAATTACCTGCACCATCTGTCCAATGTGGAATTGCGCAGGGAACACAGCCCCCCGCTTGTTGACAAACACGCCCCTCTTGCACCTATCTGTCAGAACACAGATTATGGCTCTTTCGGTGAGGAATTAGACCAGCGGTTCCCTTTCGGAATGTCGTTCGAGGAAAGAACATGGCATGCCTTGCAGATAGCACTGAGTCATATGGACAATGACGTACGCGAACTTCTGGAGAGCGCAATCGGGCAAATAGAACGGCGAGCCCTGCGAAGGAATGAAGGAGAGTTTTCTTGGATAGAGAAGCTGAACATGCTAGACAACAAGGATTTTATCCGTAGTTTGCAGCAGCTCTAGGAAACGGACGATTATATCAAGCTCCAGAGTGAAATGGAGGAGGATAACGCCGCGTGGCGCATGAGCGGCGGCCCAGCAAAAGCGAACGAGTTGGCAGAACGCGGCGAGGCGGCAACGAGCGAGGAGGTGGAGAGGTTGTTTTCGAAATTCAAGCAGTGTTGGCGTACATCGCCGCACTGATTATGACTCGCCTTGATAGCTCATGTACCTTGGTGGAAATAGATATGATCATATTGTTGTTGTAGGCCGAATGACTGAGACCGCCCGCTTTACCCAACCGTGAAATCAAAAGCCCGCGCCTAAGTTGCCGTTTCTTGAACGCTCTGGACCCGCTTTGTCTCATCCGTGGCGGTATCGTAAATAATGGGAGAAGCTCCACGAACAAAGAACAACTCGGTTCTTTCATCGGCTCTATTCACCTGCCTAACGGCCTGCTTATGTGACAGTCATGTGTGACCAGTTGCATGTCCCGCCATTTAATTTCATTGAGACCTGCCTCGTCTGTTTCTAAGATCTTACTCACCATACCCAGGTATGTGGGCAATACTTGAAGCCACAAGACAGGTCGTATTGTTGGCAAACCCGTCGGGTGACTCCTCCAAACGAGGATTAGTAGGATTAATTAGAGTATCAAAGGAAGAACGAGGTAGGGTGTCGGTAACGGTCGTAACGTGAGCCACCACGCAATCATTATAAAATGGCCCTCACCAGTCGTCCGCCTTACTCTTAGCCTGCTGGAAACTTGGGAGTCCACGTCCCGTCAATCGCCCATGTGGCTAAAACTAAATCCCAATTAGCATCCATCCAGGTCCCCATTCTTAGTATGGCTCCGCCGATTCATATTCATGCTACGCGCCTGCGGTCAATCCTTGACGACCTTGGGCCCCGCTGCTGTGGCGGCTGCCGACGCTTACTGTACAAGATTATACAATATATAACTGCCAAAAGTCTGAAAACGATGGCCGAAGAAGCCCAAGCTTCAAAGCTGCTTCATCGACATGATGCGCAATGGTATGTGGCCATATCCAGGGAACTGATGATGAATTGTCCCGAGAAAATTCGGCGTCTAGCCTGGTCTGAGCTTTGGTACCAACGGGGAGAGGAGCACAGAATCAATGATGCTATGATTCATGGATCAATTTCTGAGTACATCATGTGGTATCTTCAACTCGCGGAGGATCTCAACGCGGAGCGATCAGCAGAGTTTCTTTCGAACTATGGTTCAAAGGAGCATCCAATACCATGTCCTTTTTCCGAAGCGGACTGTTATTTTTGGCTTTTTCCCCCTGACTTTTCAGATTGGGAGGAGGAGGAAAAGATAAAATATGTGCTGAGACGGATGTTTTGCGGGATGGAATTCGGTGTGATCAAAGTCGTGCTATGGGAGGAGCTGAAGAAACGATGGGGGGAGGAATTGCATGCTTTGATGATGGACGACAATTCAGATTCGAACGCTGCCAGCTGGGTGGATAAGTTGCGGGAGTTGGAGCAGGATGAGGAGTTCAAGCAGACATTGGCCAGATTAAGAAGCAGGTTTGGAGCTCAGATTAGGCCCAGGGGTGAAACACGACGAGAATCCAACATTCGTCAGCTGAAACAGCTGATGGATTTACTGGTATTCATAGAGGAGCAATACCCATCCAGGATATTGGAGCAGACGTGAGAAGATTGGGCGGCCGGAGCTGAGGGATGAAGTCTTGGATAGCGGGATCAATATTCTAACTACCGGGGTTGTGTACGGGAGAAGTCAATTCTATATTCGAATAATTATATGATGAAAACAGGCCACTCGACTGAGTCATGAGGTCCCTATTTGCTTTTTTAATTACTCCCTGCTGTGAAGGGCGAATCATATATTGGTACAACAATTGACCAGCTGTCATTTTGTCATACTCCTGTAGCTGTTACTTGTATTTTGGCCTCTGTTACTTGCTGTTGTTACACCCCGTGATCTCTTCGCTCTTTCAAACTCGACTTCTTGACCATCTCCTAGATTCCCAATCGGCTCATTTCACTACCCTCTCCCCCGGACTAAAACAACTACAATGCCTTGACCAATCCGTCTTAGCGGGGCATTCCTCAGCCATTGTCCAGCCGTGTGTAGAGGAGCTAGGGATAGTAATAGTGACACTCTTTGTTTGCCCGCACCAACGTTTTCGGCTTTGCCATTTTGAATCATGAAGCAAAAGCCCACAGCTGCCCGTAATACACGCAAAAGCAAGCGATTTCATGTCAACTGAAATCACGCAAGCTCCCGGTACCAATGCCGCCAAAACGAAAGAGATCTGGCCGTGACATCCAGGGCAAAGCCGACAAGGCATCAGCCAATTCCACGCCTGCCCGCCCTGGGAAGCGTAACAAGACTTCTCCTGCCAAACCCAGAGCACGACCAGCAGAACTCTGCCCCACCGGAGCAGCCCGCCGAGTCGGCTTCTGGGGCACAACAGCTCGAACAAGAGTCGGAACTGATGTCTAGGGTAAGGCAGCTTGAGCAAGAGCTGTCCGTTGTGACGGCGGAGCGCAAAGATCTGCAAACAAAGCTCGGACAGAATTCGGAGCTAGCGCCTAAGGTAAAGGAGCTTGAACGGAAGCTGTCTGCCATCACAGCGCAGGGCGAAGAATATCGAACAAAGTACCACAAAATAACAGACTGCCAAACATGGCTGAGGCATGGGCCGCCCTCCCGTTTGATACCCAACAAAGACATCTTGTACCGGACCATGTCTGCCTTGGCGGCAGAGCCTGTGTACTACATCCCGGGGTTTGGAAATACAGGTGTTTTTATGATTGAGAAATGGAAAAACCTGATCTGCGATATCCGGTGGGTTTCGGAGCTGTTCTTGCCCTCACGTGTGCCCTGGGATAACTTCGCCCCGGAGACCAAAGAGAAGCTGCAGAATTTCTTGACAGTGACGACGAGTCCGCGAGGGTGGTCTTCGAGGCTTGGATCTGGCATATTCTGTATGGCAACGTGTTGTCCGACCTCCAAGACCCTTGGCTCGCCAAGCATTGGGAGCTCTATGATGAGCTGGAGCGAGCGATATCCCGTAAGCAACATATGCTGGCCTTGACAACCCACCACTTTTCCTCCTTCCACTGGCAATTCCCAACACCAACAAATTCACACACAAAGCACCGGCAGGCAACCGGGACACCGACTCGAGGGAGAACATACGATATCACATCTGGAGGAACCTCACGCTGGGCTTGATCCAGACCATCGAAAAGCTGGGGTGGTTCTGGACCCGCAAGGACCCCCGCCTCGTCATTGACATAATCATGGAGGAGCTGGGGCCCTTCTTCCGGTTGCGGGAACATGGGACCTACGCCGACCTGGACAAGGAACTCCTGCGGATTGCCAAGTCCGCCCTCGAGGTCGACATGGCCAAGCATTTCACCAGGGCCGAGTGGATCATCAGCTTCGGGCATCCTGAGACCGGCGCCCTCTTCGGCATCCCCTTCGACCATCGCTTCATGAAGAACGTCGTCATCATGTGGTCCACCTCAGACGAAGAGAGTAAGTTGTCCTACCCCCTAAACTGAATCAGCCAACCCTGCAACATCAAACCGGGCTGGGCTGATTGAAGCGAATCACACTGACTGACCCGTAACAGCGGATGATATACCAGTCGATCTGGTCACTTCTCCGACCGTGGTTATGCGTGGTATCGAACATGGAATTTGCCTTTCACGACCTTTGTCGCGATGATAGATTGTTCATGCATGGCATCGTGGACATGACCTCCCGCGCCCCACGCAGAGCCACGAACGCCGGGGACCCGCCCCCCAGTGGGAGTGGTGATGACGCTCCCGGTTCGGGGGATATGTCAACCTCTCGACCCAACGACAATCTCCCGGCCGAAGAGCCAGGAACGGGGGAAGCGAAAACGCAGCCTGATGTCGCCGAAACAAGCGAAAGCACCAGTTAACAAACGAGGTTGCAAATTCATTGGTGGAAAGGTTTATAACGGGGCTTGGTTGAAGATAAATAGTCAGTGTTCAAATGGTTTTGGGCAGTTTCAGTGAGCAGATCGGATCAACATACGCCTGTAATAATTAAAGAAAAATGTCAATTTGGTCTTTAGAGAACAGTTCCCAGCACCATCGCACATTGTTACCAAGCTACAAGTGTCCCCTCTGTACCCATTCCATATCTTGGTTGATGAAACAACCTCGAGGTTCGGGTTGAGTTTCTGCGGTCCCGTCGTTTGAAACTGCCACCGGACAGACAGTCTCGGCGAGTTTCTTTCACCTAAAACTGCAGGAGCGACACTTGTCACCCCGAAGCGGAGCCGGCCGCCGAAGATGGCCGTTTGAGGAAAGGACGTTCTGGCACGGGGAAAGGACAACCCCATTCATCCTTCCCAAGAACGACTTCCCAAAAGATATGCTGCCCATGCTATGATATGTCTCCACTTGACCTGCTTGCTGTGGTTTATTTATGCACCCCTAATTATTATTACTGTACATATCAACACCGAGCGAACCCTGAACCCTAACCTATCACTGATCACATGACTTTATTTTCCGCTGCTCTATCTTATGAACGGAGCTGTGTGGTGTCGACGACTTGCCTGAGTCGGGGATTAGGTACGTAGGTAGGTACTCTACTAATGTAGCAACCTCGGTACATGGTGTGATGGGCCGGCCGTTTCAACCAATCCTAATTTGCATTGGGCGAAAAAATAAATCTAGCAACAAACAAACAGATATCGTGAGAAATGTCATCTTCAAAACAAACTGACCGCCCTCGGTGCGCTATAGCCACCTTCTAAAACAGTGCTAGGTCCTCCCAATGCTTAATTCCAACTAATAGGACAACAATGAAACTCATCTAAGGGGAACACCCTGACCGTCATCACATAGGAAACTCCACGGCCCGTACAGCTATGGGGTCCTAAATCCAGGCCTCGCCATCTGATATATATTGTAAAAGGAAACAAATAAACCTTGCGTACCCCATTCCGTCTTCATTATCTGGCAGCTCTTACCCGTTGTTGGTTGCGTGCTCCCAGGAGTAGTGATCGCGCTCCCGAGGCAGGAGACTGGCCATATCGACATTGCGTTGGTAGGCTGCGTAATGTAGAGGAGTTGTACCGCCCTCGACGGTGCTATTTGGGTCGACACCGCTGAGCCAAATAGCCGAGGCATAACTGGGATCGTTATCTACGTCGGCTCGATGCAGAGGCCAGTTGTCTCGTGCGTCGAGCCCGACACCTGCTGCATAACTCGGGTCTGCCCCCACAGTCGTGTAGTGAACGCTTGATCTGCTGCTTGAGGTGTCGTGGGCAAGGGTGCCTTGGAGGGAAAGGTTGGGGTCAAACCCTGACGGGGGGTACCAGGTCGCTTGTGCCGGGTGGCCGGTCTGATCCCAGATTGCGAGGATGTTGAGGTCGGGATTGGTGGGGCCCGGCCACGGCGAATGGCTATATACTGGGCTGGCTCCGACTGATGAGACCGGATGGTCAGGGGAATAGCTGGCACCGAGGTAGTGGCCGATGTTTGTAGGGGCTAGATCGGGGGAGTCCATGGCTGCCAGATGAGGTTCCCAGGACAGCGCAACGTCGCTGTTGTGCGGGCTCTGAATCCCGTATGGCCCCGGTGACCCTACAACGGGTCGTTGTCTTTCTTCAGGTGTGTCTGACTCTGATTGCAACGGAGGCGATGTAGCCGGTACGCTAGGATTACTAGGATTGGGTGTTCGGTATCTGATATGTGGTGGCGGTTCAACTGAGTCTTGGATTGTTTTAGTTTGAGATCTGGATTCGTGAAGGGAACCAACAATATAAACGAAAACTCGTACCCATCCCATCGGGCAGAGGCCCGTCCGTCTTGTGCCGTCTGGCAAATCGATGGAGTTTGGAGTTATCCACGAGCTTTCCATGTCGGATGAATTCGGTCTCCTTGTTTTCTTCGATACGGCGTCGTGTCATAATCGCTAGCATCACCATTGACTCTTCAGTCGTGAGGTTCTTTTTGAGACACCAATGGTCAAAGGCTCGCTTATAGCTTTTGGAGCTTGACACAGGGGTTAGGTGGTGCGCCCGTTGGCAGATGGCAGAACCATATGGAGATGGTGGGAGAGATATACTTAGCGTCGAAGCCGTATACTTCCTTCATGAACCTTTGGACCTCCGGCAGCTTTTGTTGGCGGCGCCAGTACAGATCGGAGATGATCTCCCTGTACCTGTCCCAGTCGCTGGACCGAGGCTCCTTTGCAAGACTCATGGCGATTCACAGGCTCGGCAGCGATAAAGGGACAATGAGTAGCTGAGAACATGCGGTATTGGCTGGTGAGCCCCGCGGACGGCTGTGAGAAGGCCCGACGCCTGACTCACACATGGGACATTCTGAGAGGGGTTCTGTCGATGTTTTATATCATCGTGAAGTGGGAAATTCGGAGGCCCGTCCGGCGTGCTCGCGCACCATAATGCCTAACGTGAAGGTCTGGAAAGTAAGCGAGGCGGGCATGGCTGGCTCTCGGATCCGGCGCCACGGGCGGGAAGTTCAAACAGCCTCAGAACCGGCATCTTGGGACATGGCAGTTGAAGTTGGGGTGAATCGGGGCAATGAGAGATGCAGGACGTCCCAGGGTGTGCGCCATCGCGCACCAGTGTCCCAGAAGTGGTAAGTTCGCCTGCCCATCAAGTCCAGCGCTTCGATAGGTGTGACATCGGAAGCAGAGGCATGAACTCCCGGGAGATCGCACGGGGGAAAGCGGGTGGGATCTTTTGCTCCGGAGACACGCTGAGGCTGCCGTTACTATACTTACTTATCGTCAGTGCTCAATCTCACCGCCCAAGTCTGTGAGGCTGGGCAAATCGGGTTGCGACGGTCTTCAGCGAACTGCCCACGGGGAACGCATCCGTGGCCGAAAAGGGAGGGGGGCATCTGTCTATCGGACAGGCTGGGCTGCCACAGAGTGATGGTGGGCGTTGTAGAAGCCACGGCCGTACTCAGCTGCGGCCTGTAGCTGCACATTTTTGGCACCAAAGGCGCACCATAGACTTGCCCCCACACTGCGGGCATCCATGCTTCGGCTGCGTCTGGTGCGAATGTCCATTATTTACTTCGGAGCTCGAATCCCCCGGGCACGTCCCGTCGGCTGGGATGCGCTGGGAATTAATTGCCAAAACAGGAGAAATCCCTCTTTGGCATATGTGTCTCAGCAGACGAGCATTGGGCCCATCCTAAAGAGGATCGACTTGGACCCAATAACCGGTAGGCTGGGAGTTGGATCGTCAGGTTCTCGTGGGAATCGCCGGGAGCCTATCTGCGGAAGATGGCGCAAGGGCTCTGGAAGCTGTCCGGTTGGTGGGCTGCGAGCAGTTTGTGGCCTTTGGGCCATCCCTCTGGCCGCAGCCCACACCCGCTGCTGAAGATCCCGTGGGAAAAGGTGCCTGCTTGCCTGCCTGCTGTCACCTGTGCGGCAGACTTTTCTTCAAGCCGGGCCCGGAATCGTCTCCCCGGCGGCCTTTGGTCCTCGGGTCGGGACTTGCAAAAGACCCGGCCCGAACGACGAAACGTAATTGGTCCCCTGCCAAGAAAAAGACAACGGCCAACTGTCCTCGGGAGTGGCGCAGTGAAGCTAGAGGTATGCACAGTACAGACGATAATTTCCATGGCGGGGCGGGGAAACACTGCGAATTGAAATGTGCGGTGCGAATTGAAATGTGCGGTGCGAATTGAAATGTGCGGTGCGAATTGAAATGCGCGGTTCGAGATGAATGCAATGGTGCGCATGGCGGGTAGGTCGTGGAAAGCGCAGTCGGTGATGATTGACCGTCCCCTGGTCCTCTGCCTAGGACCCACCCTACCCGCGGAGTCTGCCCGCCATCCGCCCGGGTTGCAGGGCTTGAATCAGCCTGGCATCTCGTGTAGTTGTTTTGGCCGGAATCGGCAAGAACAGCAGGAAATTTAAACGCGGACAAACCAGGCGAGTACTGTGTAGGCGTTGTCAAGTCGTGATTACCTAGTTGGGACTCGGTTTATGGTCGCAGTTTCCCACTCTTCGACGGACCCGATCGTGCTTGCTGGTAGAGGCTGTCAAGCCTCACGCAGCACCGCCTGACCCTGGGTTGGAAGCGGGAACCTGTTGTGCCAACGGGGCGGAACACGCCGTTGAACTTGGTGGGCCTTGACAAAGCCTCGTCTCAGCTGTCACCAGGGCAGATTCAGAACACGATGACGTGCAGGTACATATGATTGAGGTACTGCAACTCTGACCCTCGTCATCAACGGCTGGTTGCCCCACAAACTTGGCGTCATTTTACCTTGATGCGCTTGTCAGCTTTCTGGGGTTGGCGGAAAAGAGTAAAGCGTTCACCCACAGTGAATTGAGGAACCTAGAAACAAGTACTCCCATGTAGTCAATACTTGGTCGTCACTCGGTGGAGTGGGGTGGCCCCACTTCCCGGCAGAGGATTTGACGGTTCTCTCAAACTTCCATCCTTCGTTCCATGCATGGGGTTTGATCCAGCGGGCAACCTGGAAATCAGCTGCTCGGGGAGCTTCCGGCTCGAAGTATTCGTACGACAAGCCCACTTCACACCGGCCTCATCGACGACGCTACCTACAATGCCACACCAAGGATCACTGTAACACCGCGTTGGGCACAGACCGATTGAACTCAAACCCCCAATTTCCGCCCTAGGCCCCCCGTTCCTTTCCCCCGCCTACCAACCACAACGCGCCCGGCCGCTCTCCCGCCGACACACCACTTGGCCAGCTCACCTCTCCCACACCTTTTTTTTCGCCCACCCGCATTCCGCGGGGCAAAGGGGGCCACGCCAACCCCCCCCCCCCAAAAAAACCATGTCGCAAAAAATCAGCGCTAAAAACCTGCAGTACAACGCGACACAGCCGCGCTTCCTCGCCCTGCTACGCGGCCAAGGCGGAGCCGAAACAAACCGTGACGGACCGGACCCAATTCTTGCTGCGAGGCGCCGACCCGTCAAGCCGCGTTCGGGCAGTGCCGAGGCCGAGGACGCGCCGTTGGTTGTGGACGAACATGGACACGCGGTTGCGGATGTCACGGTTGGCGCGGACGGGGCCGTGAAGGAGAAGGAGAAGGGGTTGGGGTCCGGGGCTGGGGAGGAAGAACAGGGGGAACAACAGCAACAACAACAAGTACCGGACAAGAATTCGACGAGCGATAACAACGATGACGCGAATGGGATTGGGAAAGGGGAGAAGCTGGTTGGGATTGGCGAACCGCGAAAGAAGAGGAGGATTGGCAGGGTGATTGAAGCTGCGGAGGAGGAAGAAGAGGTGGAAACGACGAAAACCGGGAAGGATAAGACGGGGGTGGACAAGGCGACAGCGGAGGGCAAACCGACTAAGGAGGGCTCGACAACCGCGCCGAAGGTGAAGACGAAGAAAGCAAAGAAGATCAAGCTCAGTTTTGGCGACGACGATGGTTGAGTACTCCTTTGTCGGAGCGTCAATTAAAATCTTCATGGGGATTTCTTCTGTGGGGGCGACTTCCACAAGCACACACGAGGGCCGGTACTTGGAATCCGTCGCAACCTGGACCAAAGAAAGGCCCGCGAGGTTCCTCAGGAACACATCGTCCCACGGACGGGCATCATTGAAACGCAACCTACCCGAACACACGGCACAACGCCCCCTTTCTTCACCAACCTTGATGCGACAGTTCCTCCATGACGACAAATATATCGGGCGGATGGGGCTTTCTTTGTGCTGTTGCGAGTTTCTTCTACCCCCCGGGCGTGGGTTGCAAACGACCAATTCCTTTTGGCTGAGTCATTATCTACTTCTCCGGAGGGGAGCTTATGATGACAGGCAGCTTCCGATCCCGGAACGTATTCGGGTAGCCCTGCCGCGGTTTAAATATGTGGAAGCGTGCTGGCCGAGCCGAAGGTAACGAGACCGGGAAGGGGGCACTGAGCCAGCCCAGAAGTAGGTCACCAGGTTAGTACCGAGGCATCGCTAGCAAGTTGCACGGGTTGCAATGCAACGTCAGACAGAGAAAAGTCCTCTATACAACCCCATATTCCTGTCCACATAAATCTACAAGCCCAGGTCCCCATCTCTCATCTGCCCCCCAAATTTTGACCCCTTCAGTGCCCTCGCGGAAGCTTTACCAATACTCGGGCTTGACGTAGTTGGCAAAGGTCTTGGGCTCCTCGAGACCGTGGGGGTTGTGAGAGTGGTGGTGGTCGTCCTCCGGGCCGACGTAGTCCATCTTGTAAACGCTGCCACACTCGGGGCAACGCTCAACCGGGCGCTCGCGGCTCATCTGTGTTTGCCGTTATCAGTAAGTTGGACATCCACCAAATCCCGCCGGACTGCGGATCGGATGGCCGACTAGGAGCGGGCCGCGGGAAGGTGTTTGGCAAAAATAGGCGACTTACACCAAGCCAGATAACGTTGTGGGAGTCAGCCGGGTAGCCGGTGCAACCGGCATATTGTTCCTCGCCGGCGGAACGGACCTTGATGGGGTCCTGGAGGGTCCCTGGGGGCAAGATTAGCGAACCATCACCCTTACATAGGTTCCAAGGAGCGTGAGGGATGGATGCGCAAACTTACCCTTCCGCGACGCATCAAGAGGGCGCATGTCGAAAATGTCCACACCCTCCATCTTTCCGAGAATCTCGAGACGCTCGATACCAGTAGACTGCTCGTAGTCGGTGGGGACGGTTCCAGGCTTAGCACCGGGACCGAAAAGGTCATCCTCCGACTTGACATCTGTGATAAACAACATCAGTCTGATGTCCGGCTTGAAACCAAAACGCACTCATTCCACGACCCGTCACCCCAGTCCTCCTCTTCCACGCTCATCCAACGTTACTTGTTATACGTGTTGAGCTTCCTGACGCCCAGTATCTGACGTCAGGGCATTGCTGGCTTCCTTCTAATTCATGACGCAACTATCCATCCACCACTGTCATCGCAAACATGACTTCTTGAAAACAGAAAGGATTCGTACCGGCCAGAGTCTTCGAGTGGTGCAGCTGGGGAGTCTTGGGCTGTTCGGGCTTCGCGTCGCCTAGTCATCAAGAAAATTCGTCAGTATACATCCCTATCAGTCCGGCAAATCCCCAACAAGTGAGGGGGGGGAGAGAGGGGCAGCGGTCTTCTTTTCACACCACGGCTGCCCAACAAATCGCCGCAAAGCTTTCCGTTCCCAAGGCCAATGTCGGCGATCCTTCCGTCCACGCCCTCCCCGCCCTCCGCACATCCCCTCTCTCCCCATCGAACCCTCAGTCGTCGGGATAAAAACTTACGGCGCACAGCAGTCGTAGCAATGCTGCGACGGAGCGACGGGGTGGCGACCGCGGCGCGGCGCGCAACGGCCACGGCAGAGCGCTGCAAGAACATGTTGCGTATGTAGTTTCGGGTCGTCGGGTCGGCGGGTGGGCGGAAGCCAATTGCTGGTCGCGCGGTGTTTTCGCGGGGGGTGGTGGTGGTTTCGGGACGGCAAAGCGGGTTTTGGCCAAGTTGGGGGAGCATGGGACCGAGCTTGCAGGTGGTTGCTGTTTCCGGGTTAGTGGGGTCATGTGATGTGGCACGTGCGCCCTTCCAACGACATCCCCAGGTTGAGGCAGGTGCTTGTATTTTGGAACTGTCAAAAAAGCGATTCTACTTGACTACCTTTACCATCTAGCGGCCCATCGGGTCATCTCATTGTGCTTTCCTGCCTTCGCCTCCCTCGGCACTCACAGCGCCAAGAGAGGCCACGGCGTAGTACGCAATAACAGAGAGTACAGGCGATGCAGGCACGAGCAGTGTGCCCACAATGAATGCACAGTTCAACAGTAGGGGTAAGGTGGCGAAATTGCATTGAACTCCGACTCCCTCGAAACCTCTGGCGAAACCCCATCCTCTCGACTTCCTTTTCCCAGCCGGCCTGTCTCTCCCGCGCCCATTCTTTACCCCACTACCCACAATACCTCTAGCAACTGCTTCCTCCTGGCGCACCCTGTGCATATTCGATACGTGGTCCCTCCATGTGCATCTCCTCGGAGCCGGGTCGAACACGCCACTTCTCCGCCTGAGAGGCGCCGAAAGGCAATTCCGGCGCCTGACAATGCGCTAGAATGACACGTCCATGGACATCCTCAAAATTACCACACGCCCAGTCGGACAGCCGATAGCAATCGTTGATCCATCCCTGGAAACGTCTGATACCACAGGTCGGAAATCAGGTGGAAGCCATATGGATTCCCGGCCTTGCCATGTAATCCAGCATTCATCGTCGCTAAGACCCCACCTTGGCCCTGTTTCGCTGGATGGTGGTGTCTGCGGATTTGAAGTTGACTGGCCGCTAGAATTGGTGATGTGAAAAGTGTCGCTCACAACACTGTAGTCATCATGGCGGCCCGATCCGCCATCTTGGACCTTAATACTACTAGCATCACTGTGAAGCCACAGTCCGGAATCGCCCGAGTCTTCAAAACGAAGGGTAAAGACGCGAGAGTCCATCTTTATGGAGCGCACTTTCTCGCCTGATTTTGCATCCCAAATATAGATAGTTTCATCATAGTCTCCTCCAGATGCGATCTGACTGCCGTCCCGGGAGGATACTATTGACAAAACCAAGCCACTATAGTCCTCAAGCCTCTGGATCGTTTTGCCCGATTTTATATCCCAGATACGGATAGTCCTATCGCCTGATCCAGATACAATTTGGCTGTTGTCCAAGAATCCTACTGAGCGAACCCAACCATTATGGCCCTCGAACTTCTGGGTCTCCTTGCCTGACTTTATATCCCAGATACGGATAGTTAAGTCGCTTGATCCAGATACGATTCGGCTGTCG